ATCAAGTGGCGCTCAAACAAAATACGAAAAAAAGCAATGAAGTGAATGTAATAAAATAAGAAATATTTCGGACGAAAATCATCAGATCTGTCAAACTTGTTATAATGCAAAAAAAAGAATTATACTAAGTGGAAATAAAGTTATTGATGATTTCATCAGATATACACAAACTAATAATGATAAAGATAATGGGAAAATGATATTTGTTCCTTATGAAAAATTCAATGATATAGAACTTATTGGCGAAGGAGGGTTCAGTAAAATTTATAAAGCTACTTGGGTTGATTGTAAAATAGATTCTAATCTTTGTACTCTAGATTTTTCTTTACTAAATGAGTCTAAAATAGTTGCTCTTAAAAAGCTTAACAATTCTAAAAATGTTACTTCAAAAGAGTTAAATGAGGTAAATATTCTATAATAATTATATTAATTTGTTAACAACTTTAAATAATAAAAAAATAAATTGTTATTTTAGCTTAGGATGTTTTATCATTATTGTTTAAGTGGAAAAAAATTAAGTAACATTTATTATGATGATGATAGACTTGTTAACATATATTATGGTATTACTCGAGATCCTATTACTCAAGATATTATATTTATTATGCCATATTATAATTCGGATTTGGTACATGATATATATGAAAATTTTTATGATACTAGTTGGTATAAGAAGATATCTTCTTTACGAAACATTATAAGTGGACTTAAAGAAATTCATGGAGTAAATATTATACATCGAGATTTACATAGTGGAAATATTCTTTTAGGTGATTATTATAGTTTTTTTCATGATGTGCTAAAAATATGTGACTTAGGTACAAGTAAATCGGCAACTGAATCAACAAGTGATGAGGAGGAGGAGGAGGAAATTTATGGCGTAATCCCTTATGTTGCACCAGAGGTTTTACGAGGTAAAAAGTATACTAAAGCTTCAGATATATATAGTTTTGGAATTATTATGTGGGAGTTAATGGTAGGAAGACGACCTTTTTGGGATAAAAATCATGATATAGAACTTATAATTGAAATATGTGATGGTTTACGTCCACCAATTATTACAAATGCACCTGATGGTTATACTGATTTAATGAAAGAATGCTGGCATTCTGATCCAGAAAAAAGACCAACAACAGTTGAAGTATTAAAAAGGGTCGGAGAAATAAAAGAAATTGAAGGAAGAAAATCTAACAAGTCCAATGAGACAAAAATTATAAAATCATCAGATATTGGACCCGTAACGACAAATAATCCTGATGCCACATATAAGAGTAGATATTTAAGCGGTATGATAAAATCAGCAGCTTCTACAAGAAGTCAATCTATTAGTACTTCAGAACTTGGTAAATAATTTGTAATATTAATTATATTTTTTTTTTCATAATATAATTTTAATTATTTTAACTTTAGATCAACTTGATTTTTACCAAAGAAATTCTAACGGTAATTATTTGTTCAATTGAGATAATTTTATTTTGTTTGAGCTAATTACATGTACTTTTTTTAAGATAAAAGAAAGTTTGAAGACGGAGACAGCTTTGACAATGGTACGGAAAGAATTTCATCATGATAAGAAATTTAATGTTTACTAATTTAAAAAATATTTTTTTAGGTATAAGTAATAAAAAGATTAAGCTATTTGTTGATGAAAATAATGGTAATAGTAATTGTTTTTACACACATTTTTTTCGCGATTTAATTAACTTTTTTTTTATTTAGGTTACATTACAAAAGAACTTAAATTTGATATCGATAAAAATTCCGGACAATCTAAAAATAGTGGTAAGTTAATATATAATAAAATAATAATATTTAGAAAATTTACAATCTAACATATTTTCCTCTTTTATAGGATATATTACTAGAGAAATCGGTTTTGATATTTAATTATTTTTTGAAATTTCTTTGAATGCCCAAATTTAATTAATTAATTTATTTATTTTTTATTATTGATATAATAAAATTATTAAAAGGCATACGCTGACCCGACACCACTCATTTCCGTAGCACTCTATGTTACCGTAGACGAAAAGCAAGGAGTGGTGTTGAATTAACCAAAAAAGTATAGTATGGTGTGAAATCGATATTGAGTATGATTTAGATAATAAAACTATACTCAACTGTAACGGTATTACAGAAAGGAGTATGGTCGGGTCAGCGTGATGAGTAGAGTATGGTGACATTTGGCGGTGTGTAACATCATAAAGGTAAGACGAAAAGTAGTAGAGTAGGGGCGGTGTGTTGAGTAGAGTATTGTGATGTTTAGCGGTGTGTAACATAAAGGGTGTGAACTATACTCAAGTGATGAATAGACACCCGGCCAAACCGCTGGGCTGAGCTTGGGCCGAGGTGTTTATTTATCACTTGAGTAAACTGTCACTTAGGGTCCATACTATACTCATCACGCTGACCCGACACCACTCATCTCAGTAGCACTCGTAACATAAGGGGTGTGAACCATACGCAGGTGATGTATAGCATCTCGGCCCACTCCAAATCACGTGTTTGGCCCGTCGTGTTATTTATCACTTGAGTAAACTGTCACATAGGGTTCCATACTCTACTCATCACGCTGACCCGACCATACTCCTTTCCGTAGCACTCCAACTGTAATGGTGTAAATTATCAACGAAAAAAACTAAAAAAGTATTGTATTTATATTTTTTTTTATTTATAATTATACTCGACTGCCATATTAAGTTAAATTGAAGAAAAATTTTATTGTGAATTTTTTATTAAATCTTTAATTTATACTAATTCTTAATTAGCCAATTTCAATTAACGCTCCTTTTCACAATTATTTTTGCTTCACGTTCCCTTAAAGCAAGTTCACGTTCTTTTCATTCTAAAAGCTAAATCTTTTTCCCGATATCAAGCTCTTTAAGCTTTAAATCCAACTTAATTTCTTTATTATTGTCTTCTTCACAATGACTTGGCTATAAAAATATGTTCTCATATTTTATTATTATTATCTTTGATTACTATAAATGTTCACATAATAATACCTCAATAAGATCTTCTTCATAAATGACATAACAAAATTAATATCCATTGTTATAGTGCGAGATAATTTTTGTTTGCGTGAAACAATGAGCAAAGATAATGATAATATTTTTCGTGTAAAACAAGTGGAGATAATATTTTTCTTTTGGGTGAGTAACTTTATAAGCGAAATATTATTATTATTATGTGCAGTGCGGTAAGGTAATCGAATATTCAATGATCGATCCGGTTTTTTTAATATAGCTTTACTTAAAGTTCCAAAGTTTTATTTCTCGACTCGTGATATCGAATTCCTACAAATAAGATAACGTGAACGATTTCCATCCTCCAAAATCATGAACAAGACTTAGTTGATTGGTCGATGTTGTACATAAAAATAAATAAACAAAATTTACACAAAAAAAAGAAATTTCTTTTTTTCCAGAATTTAATTCTACGTTGTATCACCCAACAAATAATACAAAGAAATTTAGGATCCTCAAATGCTGTACTACAATTAGGAAATCTATCAAAGAAGAGAGATTTCGATTTCGAATTTTATTGCATTCTATAGGTACATATTAGTACATTTAATGATTACTTAACTGTTAAGGAAATTTCTATCGGAAATTGCATATAATAGAATAAGAATTTGATTGAAAAAAAACTCCGGGTTTAATAAATTTGAAAGCATTTAAATGGACATTTACAACGCCCGAAATTTTTAAAAGAATTGTCGTAATAATAATGGAATCAACAAGAGATATTAGATATAAATTATTATCAAGTGATGCACGAAATAAAGTTGTAACAAAATGCAAAAAAAAAAAATGTGGTGAATGTAATAAAATAAGAAGAACTTCAGTCGAAAACCATCAAATTTGTTATACTTGTTATAATGCAAAAAAAAAAATTATACCATATGGAAATAAAGTTATTGATGATTTTATCAGATATACTCATACTAATTATCCTAACAAAAAAAATGGGAAAATGATATTTGTTCCTTACAATAAATTCAAAAATATAGAACTTATTGGTGAAGGAGGTTTTAGTAAAATTTATAAAGCTACTTGGATTGATTGTAAGATTTCTGATGATGATACTATAGATTACTCATTACAAAATAAGTCTAAAATAGTTGCTCTTAAAAAGCTTAACAATTCTAAAAATATTACTTCAAAAGAGCTAAACGAGGTAAATATTCCATATTAATTTTAATAATAAACTTTATATAAGGCAGATAATAAACAAATGAATTTTTATTTCAGCTTAAGATATTTTATCATTATTCTTTAAGTGGGAAGAGTTCTGTTATTTACAATAATTATTCTAGCTTTGTTAATCAATATTATGGTATTACTCAAGATCCTATTACTCAAGATCTTATATTTATTATGCCATATTATAATTCGGACTTGACACATTACATAACTAAAGATTTTTTTAATAATAATTGGTATCATAAGTTAGATAGATTAAATGAAATTATAAATGGACTTACTAAAGTTCATGGCGTAAATATTATACACCGAGATTTACATAGTGGAAATATTCTTATAGCTAATTTAAACTATTTTTGTATAAGAGCAAAAATATGTGATTTAGGAACAAGTAAATCAGCAACAGAAAATGATGATAATAATGATAATGAAGAAGACAACATTTATGGCATAATTCCTTATGTTGCACCAGAGGTTTTACAAGGAAAAAAGTATACCAAAGCTTCAGATATATATAGTTTTGGAATGATTATGTGGGAGTTAATGATAGGAAGAAGACCTTTTTGGGATAAAAAACATAATACAGAACTCATAATTGAAATATGTGATGGTTTACGTCCACCAATTATTACAAATGCACCTAAAGGTTATATTGATTTAATGAAAGAATGCTGGTATTCTGATCCAGAAAAAAGACCAACAGCAGATGAAGTATCAAAAAAGATTCAAGAAATATGGGGAATTGATATAGTTGGTTTTTCAGAATCAAAAACTGAAATTATAAAATCACCTGATATTGGGCCCGTAACAACAAATAATCCTGATGCCATATATAAGAGCAGATATTTAAGTGGAATGATAAAATCTGCAGCTTCTACAAGAAGTTTAAGAAGCAAATCTAGTATTACTTTAAAATTTGGTAAGTAATTCGTATTTTGATTGTATTTTTCATAATATAATAATTTTAACTTTCGTTCAACTAGATCAACTTGATTTTTACCAAAGAAATTCTAATGGTAATTATTTATTTGTTTGATATAATTTTTTATACTTAGTATTGTAATTTAACGGGATCATATTATTTTTTTTAAGATAAAAGAAAGTTTGAAGATAATCAATTTGAAAGTAACTTTATCAATGGTATGTTAAAAAATTTCATTATGAAGAAGAAACCAATATTTATTTTAAATATTTTTTTTTTAGGTTCAAGTAATAAAAAGATTAAACCAATTGAAGACGAAAATAACGGTAAATAGCAATTATTTTCTCACGTATATTTTCATAATAAAATTTTTAATTTTTTTTATTTAGATTACGCTACAATAGAACTTGAACTTGATATCGATATGAATTTTAAACAAACTAACGATGATGGTAAGTAAAAATTATAATAAATAGCAACTAATATTAATTTACAATCTAACATATTTTACATTTTCAACTTTGTAGAATACATTACTAGCGAAATCGATTTCGATATTTAATGCTTTTTTGATGCTTTGAATGTCCAAATTTATTAAATTATTTAATTTATTTCATATTATTATACATATCTTGTTACATAATTATTATAAGTTATAATTCTCTACAATATATTTATACGACGATAATAAAATGGATACCGATAATTACTAAATAATATCTGATATGCTTTATTTAATATTTATAATGTACGGGAAATACTACTTACGATTTAATTATGAAGTATAAACGAATAAAATTTTTAATCTGAAATGACTAAAAAAATTTCTTTCAAAATTTAACAGATAGTGAGAAATTTGGGAGTTTTCAAATCTCGTGATTGAAATTAAGAAATCTATCAAGAAAAAATTTCAAATTTACAATTAATTTCGGTACAATTATATATCAATATCTAAACTTATTAAAAAGAATTTTCTATCGGAAATTGCATTTTGTATGGATGTATAGGATATCCTAAAATTTTTTTTCAATTAAAGTTCATGGAAAAATTGGCAAATATAAAAAATAATGACACTCTTTCAAAACCACGGGCAACAACCATAGCGAAAACACACATTTAAAATTATTTTGTATATCCAGATATTCCTATGTACTGTACTGTATGTATAAAAATGAAATATTTCACCAGAAAAAAGTTCGTTCATATTTGTATTGTAGAAATTATTGTGTTACTATATGAAGAGTTTGGTCTTTGAAGACTTGAAATTATCAGAAAATAAACCTTCAAAAAGAAACTCGTTAAAAGATTAGAATGACACATTAAAGATTTCGTTTGAAGACTGGGAATGATATTGGATAATTAGACAAAGATAATTAGGTAAAATGTGTTTTATTAAGGTTATTCACTTTATTTAACGTTAAAATACCTCGTTTATGGTACAAATTAACCAAATAATTGATTTAATATGTTTAATATGGGATACAAGTCTAATTATACCAGAATTAAGATTTTATAAGCTATATATTACTGTATATACGAGTCTTAACGAGTTAATATGGAAGGTTTTTTACCGATATGATAATTATTTATATGTTATAATATTACTCTATTATATTTATCAGAGCTAAATAAGAACGAGTGATCGATGATCGAACAAAAACTTACAAATATGTAAAATAATCGAACATCCGATGATCGGTCACCAGTTTTTTAGACGTTTTTAATATAGCTCTACTTAAAAAGTTCCGAACATTAATTTCCAGAGTTTTACCTTCAGACTCGTGATGTCGAATTCCTATGAAATAAAGGCGACGTTAACACTAAGAATGATTTCCATCCTCCAAAAACATCATCAAGACTTATTTTAGATGTTTGATTGTTGAAACTTGAGAAAAAAATCAACTATAGCAAATTTTTTAAAAAAAATATTTTATAATCATCCATTAAACAAAAATTACAAAAAAAAAAAAAGATTTCTTTTTCTTCCAGAATATAATTCTATGTTGTATCACCAACGGATAATACAAAGAAATTTAAGATGAAAAAAAAATGAAAAAAAATATATTAAAATTGAACTCAATTTTGTTTAACACCAACAATCATGAAACTGCGCAAAATGTTTATTTGATTACCTGAAGTTTCTTACAAATATAGTTTTAACTATTTGTTTGATATAAACAACTTATAGATAGACCATGATTATATTATATACGTGTGGGAATTAAAGTGAATCGTGTATTAATTTCAAACTACCAACAAGATTCGATATCATTAAGGATAGATGAAAATGCCTACATACAATTAGAAATACTGCGCAATCATATTTAATTTAACAAATACTATATTCGTCACTATCCGCTTTATAAATAGGTTACGGATGTCTGTCAATAGAAAAAATCAATTCTTCGGTTACTGCAGTCACCAAATGTGACAGTAAGATGAATAAGTAAGTAATAAAAATTACCATTTATAGAGTTTTTCTACATATGGACCTGATTCATACGCAAATGCCTCAAAATGATACAAAATAATATTATTTGGTTTTCGTTTAATTTTGACATTTGCACAAATAAGTATTTTAAAAATTCAAGATTACTTCATACACGTTCAATATCAAATTAAAACGATGCAAGAAAAATAGAAATTATATATTATTTGTTTAAATTTATAAAATTCATCTTTTGTACTTGCTATTTTTATGCGTGATCCGGATGTCGATCAGTGAAAATTCGCAAATAATAAAAATCTGCCGTCGCCACAAAGACAAGTCATTTTTTAATTTTTATCGGAAGGGAAATTAATAATGCATTCGAAAGCTGTGGTTTTTATGCTATAAAATACTGCGTAACATTTTCATTTTGTTGCACTGGATGCAGTGATACCTTACCCACAAAAATTCCAATTAAATTTCATTAATGATCTACAAAATTTCACCCATAGTAATTTTCACTGATTTATAGCCGGATCTCGAATTAAAATGATATCATACTAAATTCTAGAGCTTAATTTTGTTAAGAAGTATAATAATAGATATCATTGGAAATTATTATAGGTACGATTGAAATTTTAATTACAAATTATAGATTTACGGCATTAAGATATACTTATGAACGTAATTACGTAAATATTTTATATTATTATCGCCATTTTCAAAATGGTGTACGCAGTTCGCCCAGTTTTTATTCGGGTTTCGTCCATATTTTGTCCGACTTTCGTCCGGTTTTCGGTTTCTTTTTTTTTATTCAAATTCAACTGCGTACATCATTTTAAAAACGGCGATAAATTTAATAATGAATACAAATTCATGATATTTATCAGCTACTATCCAGAAATCTTTGTGAGACCCTGTAAAAAAAGTCAATCCTTTTTATATTCCATCTTTTATAACCTTATACACGGAATTTATCGAATTATTTACATTTTCCATGAATGGATCCGTGAAAGGCTCATTTTTACGGAGAATAATGGATAAAATTTTTTATAGGGAGGAAGAAAACTAAACCGAACAAAAATTTTTAGTCATGAGGTAGTAATTTATCAGAATAATAATATTGAACCAAAATTTAAAGCTATTTGTTCAATTACAAACTGATTTTATTTATGCAAAAATAAATTTTACATCTACTCTATAATCAGTGTTGAACAATAAAATATGTATACAGAAAATAAGAATAAATAATATAACGTTATAGGTTATTTTAATTTAAGATTTAATAAAACTTGATACTAAAAATAAAATTTATTCGTTCCGTCGCATCATCTTATAATCTGTATAAGAAATTGGGTTTAAATTAAATAAAATATAATTATAATAATAGCAAATATAAAAATTTATAAGACTTACTTTGTAAAATCAATAATTTCTACTGTGTTATTGTCGATATTATCATATTTTTGGAGTTTTTTTGTAAAAGGATTAAGTAATCGAGACTCATAAATAGCTTGTGGGTGAGTATTTTCTTTGTTAAAAGAAGAGAGATGCGATCTTCTATATTCTTCTGCTTCTTTGAATTCCTTTGCAATTTGATAGTTGAAATTTGAGCCATCATATTTATATAAATCAATAAATAAATGAATCAATTTTAAAATTTCAGATGCTTTTGGTCTATTATATGGATTTGAATCCAAACATTTTTTCATTAAATCAATATAATATTTTGGTGCTATTGGCACATTAATTTCGGGCCTAATTCCATTGCAAATGTTTAATACTAAATATTCATCATGTGCACGATCGGCAAAGGGTTGTTTTCCAGTTGCTACAAAATACATAATCATACCAAAACTATATATGTCTGCTGCCTGAGTATAAGGTTCCCCTTTTAACACTTCAGGAGCTACGTAAGGTATAACTCCGTAAATATTATTTTGATTAGTATTACTAGCGTCTCCACATAATCCCATATCTGAAATATGTATAACACTATCATCCATATTATTAGTTACACCAGCAGTATTTAACAATATATTTCCTGTATGAAAATCACGGTGAACCATCTTCTTTTGATGAAGTTCTTTAAGACCCATACTAATATTATAAAGTATAGTCACTTTTTTGGGCCATTCCAAATTGTTAAAATTTTTGTTCATCCAATAATTAAAATTTCCGCCCTTTGCATAGTCAAGAACTATAATGTATTCCTTTGTATCTGGATTTTGAGATATTCCATATATTTTAAGTATTTTATTTTCTTCATAATAATTTTCGTGATTTTTAATTGAATATAATTCAACCTATTAAAATATGAAAAAGTAATTATATAAAATATATTACTAAGGATTAATTTACAGAAAATCACATACCTCATTGAGAAGTTCACTTGTGATATTTTGGGAATTATATAAACATTTTAAAGCAACAACTTTATTTTGATTTCTTGTATAATTATGTTCCTCTGTATTATAATGTAATGGACCATCCTTCCACATTGCCGAATATACTATAGCAAAACCACCTTTTCCTATCTCTTTAATTTCATCAAACTGATTGTATGGTATCCATTCAAATACTATATCATTATAGGATTTGATTTTTGATTGCATTTTCCGTATTAAATTAACAATTTTTTCATTTTTACTGGTCAATTTCATTAAATTATTTTCTAATAACTCATTAATTTGACATGGTTCGCACCATTTATCTGTAAAAACTTTACCACATTTATCACAATAGACGTTTTGAAGAACTAAAATGTAATTTTTCGTATCTGAATTTTGTGATATCCCATATATTTCAAGTTCATTACTATTAACCTAATAAAATAAAGAAAAATTATTATTTTATTTTTAAGTATTAAGATTAAATAAAAATTAATACCTCATTTAAAAATCCATTAATAGAATTTTGTGAGTTATATAATTTTAAATTGACTTTTTTACTCCGTTTTCTTGAATAATTATGTTTATTTGTATCATACTGTAATGGACCATCCTTCCATATTGCAAAATATATTGTAGCAAATTCATCTTTTTCTAATTCTTTCATATAATTGAATTGATCATACGGTATCCATTCAGCTATAATATCATTATGAGAATTAATTTTTAATTGCCTTTCTTGAATTAAATTATCAATTTTTTCATTTCCACTGGACCAATTTGTAAAATTTTTTTTTAAATCATTAATTTGACATGGTTTACACCATTTACACCATCTACTATATGTATCTATAAAACTTTCACCACATTTATCACAATAAACTCCATACAGAAATAATATAATATAACATTTTGTATAAGGATTTTGAGATATTCCATATAAATGATTACGATTAAAATATATCTCAACCTAGTATTATTACAATAAAAAATTATGTTATTATACTATATAAAATGTTTAAATTAAAATAAAGAAATGATTTATACCTCATTTAGAAATTCATTGGTAATATTTTGTGATTTATATAATTTTAAACTGACTCTTATATTCTGATTTCTAGAATATTCATATTTATTTCTGTCATATTTTAATAAACCATCCTTCCACATTGCTGAATATATTGTAGTAAGTTCATCCTTTCCTAATTCTTTTATATCATTAAGCTGATCATATGGTATCCATTCAACTATAATATCATTATAGTTTTTAATTTTTAACTGCATTCCTTGAATTAAATTATTAATTTTTTCATTTCCACTAGTCCAATTTGTAAAATTTTTTTCTAGATCATTTATTTGACATGGTTTGCACCACGCATCTGTAAATTTTTTACCACATTTGACGCAATATAAATCTTGTGTAACCATGATATAATTTTTTGTACAAGGATTTTGAGACATTCCATATAAATGATTACGATTAAAATATATCTCAACCTAGTATTACAATAAGAAAATTTTGTTATTATACTATATAAAATGTTTAAATTAAAATAAAGAAATGTTTACCTCATATAGAAATTTATTGGTAATATTTTGTGATTTATATAATATTAAATTGACTTTTATATTCTGGTTCCTTGAATATTCATGTTTATTTCTGTCATATTTTAATAGACCATCCTTCCACATTGCTGAATATATTGTAGTTAGTTCATCATTTCCTAATTCTTTGATATCATTAAACTGATCATATGGTATCCATTCAACTATAATATCATTATATATATTAATTTCTAATTGCGTTTCCCGAATTAAATTATCAATATTTTCATTTCTACTGGTCGAGATTTCGGAATCTTTTTTTATGCCATTAATTAGACATGGATTGCACCATGCGTCATATTGTTTTGCAAATTTTTTACCGCATTTATTACAACAAAAACTATCCGGAAATGATAGAATATAATTTTTTGTATAAGGATTTTGAGATATTCCATATAAATCATTTTTTTTAGAATATACCTTAATCTATTATAATAAAAAACATTTGTTATTATACGTAAAATAATTAAGTTAAACAGAGAGATTCATACCTCGTTTAAAAATTCATTGGTAATAATTTGTGAGTGATATAATTTTAAATAGACTTTTTCATTCTGTTGTCTTTTATATTCATATTTATTACTATCATATTTTAATGGACCATCCTTCCATATTGCTGAATACATTGTAGCAAATTCATCTTTTCCTAACTCTTCAATATCATCAAACTGATCATATGATATCCATTCAACTATAATATCATCATATTCATTAATTTTTAATTGCATTCCCTGAATTAAACTGTCAATTTTTTCATTTCCACTAGTCCAATTTGTAAAATTTTTTTTTAGATCATATATTTGACAACGACACCAATTATAATAATCAAATTTTTTACCGCATTTTTTACAATAAAATTCATTCGGAAATAATATAATAAATTCTTTTGTATAAGGATTTTTAGATATTCCATATAAATGATTCCTTCTAAAATGTACATTAACAACCTATTATTATAATAAAAAAAACTTTTGTTATTATGCGTAAAATAATTAAATTAAATAAAGAGAGATTCATACCTCATGCACAAATTTATTGGTAATATTTTGTGATTTGTGTAACTTGAACTTGACTTCCGTATTCGGTTTTCTTAAATATTCACGTTTAATACTGTCATATTGTAATGGACCATCCTTCCATATTGCTGAACATGTTGTAAAAAATTCATCTTTTCTTAACTCTTTAATATCATCGAGCTGATCATATGATATCCATTCAACTATAAGATCATCATATTTATTAATATTTAATTGCATTCTCTGAATTAATCTATCAATCTTTTCATTTCCACCGGTCCAATTTGTAAAATTTTTTTCCAGACCATTTATTTGACATGGTTTACACCATTTATAATAATCATCTGTAAATTTTTTACCGCATTTATTACAATAAAATCCATCCGAAAATGATATAATATAATTTTTTGTATAAGGACTTTGAGATATTCCATATAAACGATTTCTTTTAACATATACCTGAGCGTCCATTATAATAAAAAAATTTTGTTATTATACGTAAAAACATTGCGGCGGATTTATGAAATTTGGCAAAAACCCTGCTGCGCTCTCGGGAATTAAATTGACTTACAGAACTTTTTTATCTGGAAAAATTGGTTAGACGCAAGATTTGGGGTACAAAAAAATTTTTTGGGGCTCATTTCTGACTTTTCACAAATAAATTTGGGACTTAAATAAAAATTTGATGACTAAAATACTGTCAAATATTTATTTAATTTGATATACGGACAAATTTTAGGGTATTTCATAAATCCGCCATAATGATAATTATGTTAAATAAAGAGATTCATACCTCATTTAAAAATTCTTCGGTAATATTTTGTGAGTTATATAATTTTAAGTAGACTTTTATATTCTGGTTTCTTGAATATTCATGTTTATTTCTGTCATATTTTAACAAACCATCCTTCCATATTGCCGAATATATTGTAGCAAATTCATCTTTTCCTAACTCTTTAATATTATCGAACTGATCATATGATATCCATTCAAATACTATATCATAATGGCCATTTATATTTAATTGCATTTCCTGAATTAAATTATCAATTTTTTCATTTCCGCTCGTCCAATTTATAAGATTTTTTTTTAGAGTATTCATTTGACATGATTCGCACCATGAATTATAATAATCTGTAAATTCTTTACCGCATTTATTACAATACAATCCATACGAAAATAATATAATATAATTTTTTGTATGAGGATTTTGAGATATTCCATATAAATGATTTTTTTCAAAATATACCATAACCTATTATAAATTTATAATAAAAAATTTTATTATATGTAAAATAATTAAGTTAAATAAAGAGATTCATACCTCATTTAAAAATTCATTGGTAATATTTTGTGAGTTACATAATTTTAAATTGACTTTTTTACTCCGTCGTCTTTTATATTCACGTTGATTTGTATCATATTGTAATGGACCATCCTTCCATATTGCTGAATATAATGTAGTAAATTCATCTTTTCTTAATTCTTTAATATCATTGAATTGATCATATGATATCCATTCAACTATAAGAGCATCATATTCCTTAATTTTTAATTGCATTTCCCGAATTAAATTATCAATTTTTTCATTTTCGCTCGTCCAATTTGTAAAACTTTTTTCTAGAACATTTGTTTGACACGATTTACACCATCCTAAATATGTATATTCTAAACATTTTTCACATTTATTAGCATAGCCATAACGAGAAAATACCATTATTTTATTGTTAAATTTTTTTTAAAACGTTTACAGAAATAAAAAAATACTCTGAACTTCAACAAGTTCCTTATTAATAGATATTTACAAGCTGCATTTCATATTTATTGTGCAACAATTAAAGACATTATGTATTTAGCGTGACATTAGTATTACTAGTTGATCAAACGTATTTGTAATACATAATAAATTTAGCAAATGTACGAATTTATGAGATACATTTGAAAATTAATGAACTAGGAAACGGAGTCCGGAGAGAAAAAACTAAAATTTGCGATTTCATTGGGTGACGATCACGTGGAGGACAGAGCAAATTCACGTGATCGATTTTTTTTTCTTTGTGCGTAGAATTCAGAGACCCGGATTGATTCCGATATTAAATCGCGATTTTATTCCGATAAAAAATTACCAATTATAGTAAGAAACATTTGATAATTCTAGCCGGCTTACATATTAATGCAGGCCAACTTAGGTTGCGCTAGTGACACGACAATAATTTTAGCCAAAAACTTGCAAAATTGCAAAATCACATTTTTTAATGAAACTTCTATCACGATATAGTCATAAAATGCAATAATGATTGGCTAGTTGTCATTCATTTATTATAAAAATGGAATTTTCCCGGGTCTCTGGCGCCAAATTATCATTTTTGATAGACATGAGGTATTGTTCTTGATAGACTTTACTGTAAAATATATAATGCATATCAAGATTCTCCTGCACATCTATCAAGAATGATACTTTTGCGTCCCTGGCGTAGATCTAGCCTAGCAAAAAAGCACTGGTCACGTGACCATGTAAAATCCATCACACCCCTCAGTGATTTCATTGTTAATATTTATCTGAGGGACAGTTTTTTTCGAGTTGGTAAAAACTTATTCGTCACAAATTATTGGTCACCGCACTGTTCACGTGACAGTGCATAATTCTGCTTTTTTTGGGTAACGCTAGGGTTTAGTGCGAAGGCATATATTGTCCGGAGCGAAGCGAAGGACAATAATAGAGGGACAATAGAATCACGTGTGCTATTATAAACTGCAACTTGTAGATCAACAAATGGTAATTATTTGTCTGATATAATTTTTATATTAAGTTAGTATTGTAATTTAACGAATTATATAATATTTTTTTTTTTAGATAAAAGAAAGTTTGAATATAATCAATTTGGAAGTAACTTTATCAATGGTACAGTAAAAAACAAAAATTCCGCAATGATGAAGTCATCATATTGACTTAAGTTATTGTTTATTAGGTACAAGTAATAAAAAGATTAATTCAATTGAAGACGAAAATAATGGTAAATAGCAATTATTTTTACAAATATATTTTTTTGGATATTAATTAATTTTTGCATTTCCCGTTAAAAATTACATATCGTATGATATTATATGAACTATGAAGAGTTCGAAATGTACGAGTCTTTGAAGATCTGAAGTTATCAGCAAACCTTCGATATTGTACTATGATGGATTGGATATTTAAGTAAAATATTTTAACTGTTAATTAACATTATTCACTTTATTTAGCGTATAGCATTGCTTTAGAATGAATACCTCGTGTGTGGACTAAAGCGATACAAGTTTAATTCTACTAAAATTAGTATTTTTATAAGCCGTATATTATATTCTTCAAGTCTTAGGGAAGGTAGTTGTTATAGTTTCTACAAGGTATTTTTTTTTACCGATATAATAACAATTATATAAAATTCCTCCATTATTTAATATTTGTCCGAGCTAAAGTAAGAACGCGTGATCGATGATCGATCTTGTAAGTTACCGGCCGTTTTTTAATATAACTTTACTTATTTTAATAGAAAAGTTCCAAGGGCTGATTTCAAAGCATACTCATGATGACGAATTCCCACAAAATATGATGACGTCAACGTTAAACAGGCACTTGAAGTTACCATCAAAACTTCAAAAGTTTCGTTGATTTTTGATATAATACAATGATGAATTAGAAAGTTATGTAAAATATTTTTAATTGATATTATTTACTTTATTTAACGTATAGTACTGCACTATTGCCATTCCCAAAAAATAAGAACAGAAAAAAACATGATCATATGTATAATGTATAGGCGAATATTCGATTACCGGCTTTTTTTTAGGTATTTTTGTTTTTTATTAAAGCTTTACTTATTTTGAAAGAAGTTCTGAACGTTAATTTCAAAGTCTTTATCTCCAGACTCGTGTGTCGAATTCCTACAAATAAAGACGTTAACGTCAAAAGATTCGATTTCCATCCTCTAAACAATCGCCTCCATTATTTGGATTAATGTTATACGTAAAAACAATCAAAAAAAAAGAAGAAACTTTCTTCAGAATTTATTCTTATTGTAATCACCGAATATAATGAGAAATACAAAGAAATTTTTGAGTTTTTCAAATACTCGTGAATGTTTATAGAAGAAAATTTACAATCAATTTCGGGATCAATATCCAAAACATTATTCTTAAAAAAGGTAAATTTCTAAGGGAAATTGATTTGAATGAAAAACTCTGATTTAATAAATTAATTAAAAAAAAAAGTATTTATATGAATATATTTACGATGGTTAACGATGCTCAAAAATTCTTTTAAAGTTAACATGGAAAATTTGATTTTTTTATTATCAAGTGACGTACAACCAAAATATAAAAAAAATATAATGTAGTGAATGTAGTAAGTTAATGTCTATACCAGACCAAAATCATCAGATTTGTTATATGTGTTACGAAGCAAAAAAAGCAATTATACCGAGTGGAAACAAAAATATTGATGATTTTATAAAATATACGCAAGCTGATCGTAATAAAGAATATGGGATGATTTTCGTTCCTTTTGACAAATTCGAAAATATAGAACTCATTGGTGAAGGAGGGTTTAGTAAAATTTATAAAGCCACTTGGATTGATTGTAAAAATGTCTAGTTGAGGTATTCTAAATTATTACCTACAAAATATGTCTAAAACAGTTGCTCTTAAAAAGTTTAAAACTCTAAACAATAAACTTTTAAGTATGAAACAAATAATTTAAACTAATAAATTTCATTCAGCTCAAGATGTTCTTCCCTTCAATACTTACTTCTAGAAATAGATGAGCAAGCTCAACTTCTATTGTCATGTCAGTTGTAAGCTCTTGATTTCCATCAATAATTTGGATATCATCTTCATCTATCAACTCCGAAGACACTTCTTGTATAAAATCTTGAGCTATGATATATCCCAACTCTAATCCGATTTCATTTGTCCCCAACATCGATATTCTGGATAAGATAAAATGGTCGTCAGTTATGCATAGTGCAGTGTCAGAAATAAATTAACAATGTTGACCTTAGTAAAACTCACCAAAAGTTTATGATCTCCACTAAATAAGTCCCCAAAATTTCTGAACAAAAAAAAATAGATACTAGCTTTGCAAGCTCTGAGTCACTTCCACAACCACAACTGAAAAAAATATATTTCATTCATACCTTAATTGCGAAGTATCTCGTCTATTATTATATAAAAGTATGTCGTACACATGTAAGAACACAGACTGTCGTACGACCGGAAAATTACGTATAAAAATACCTGACCCGGAGAGAGTAATATGAATCATCCTATTAATCATTCTATTGCGCGTACTGATAAATTGATAAATTACTTTTTTGTTACAATGATTATGTCATTTCGTCATAATACCATATATAAACTCAACTTCTTTTTAAAAAAACAAAACTATATTTCTGATTTTCAGTAAAACATGTTCTTCAACATTATCCGTACCAAATTTACTCATCACCTACGCTCAACGAAATTTCCTGGTGCGTCTTATATTATAATTTTATTTTATTATAATTTCATAATGTTCATTTTTCATTTTCTATTTAGAATTTAGGAAATACGTTTCTTCTGAAACCAAATCATCTGGATCTCCCGCTGATAAAGCTGAGTCAATTAATGGTACGTTTCCTATATAACTTTTATTTGTTATCTATTATGTCTTTACAACGTATTTGTCTGTTTAGAACAAACGTCGTTTCGTAAAAGCGATATACTTAAATCACCTAATTGGGAACAGAACGTCTCCTTTACTCTAAAGGAGTGCATCCTTTATGATATTGATAGACGAAGAAACAATTACTTCGATCACAGATTATCTCAAACGGAGTACAACCTCCATAATACTGCAATTAATATAGAGAATAAATTACTTATGATTATTGTTGGGAGTACCATATTAATTATTGGTAGTGTCGTCGCCAGTGATTACTTTAACCAACAAAAAGGTGTCAAGACGGTCAGGGATGAAACAAAAAAGCTTTGAATTTCTAGCTTTTATTTCATCACGTTGCCAAACTTATATTTGATTGCTTTTATTTGCGACTTATTACTTTTATAGAAAATGTAATAAAAAATTATTGCTTTCACTTTAAAATATTTTAAATTTAAAATATTCGTATTAAGAGACTAGTAGACGTCCCTTACCCGAGGTAAACGAAACTTTACAAGATAGTGATAAAACACGCGAAAAATAAATACAATGTTCGGGACGTAGCCCGCAATACATGATGTCTATACTAATGTACATGCAGCCGATTATTCCTTGATATCGGTAAGTGCTATGTGATAGTCGTCTTTCGAGCAATAAATCCTTTCCGGTGTGTATATGAGGAAGTACCAGTCAGTATATACGAATGATTGATAAAAAATCACACAAGCTCCACCTGTAGTCACAATTCCGTAGAGATATTCGAACTCATCATCGAACGCCACGGACGCTTTCCCTTTTCTCGTGTTTGTATGGTGAGAACTTCCGAGTTGCATTATTTCTGCATGAATCCCGCCACCCGCTAAACGATATTTGTAATAACACGATATTTTTATAATAAAATAAAACAAGAATTTTAAGCTGTATTCTAATCTCAACTGATGCTTGATGATTTTTACTATTACTATTACATAATTTTTTTTTGTATCAGTGACAGATTTAAATGGTTACTGGCTTCCTAGTTTAATTTATTTCATTATTATTTTATAATTGGTTATATAATTACAAGTCGACAATTTTTCTAATTACTATATGTAAGAAATTGACTAATAAAAATAGTCAATAATTAAATGAAATTTGATACTACTTACGACTTGATGTATAAAATTTTGCATTAGAGTGTTTGAAATCTGAATAATTGAAAATAATTTTTCTCTTCTAGAATTTTCAAATTTAATTCTATACTGTTTCGTTTGACAGATAATTATAATACAAAGAAATTTGAAGTTCTCAAATGATTTGTGACTGCAATTAAGAAATCTATCGAGGAAAGATTTCAAATTTACAGATCAATATCCAAACATTATCACTAGAAAGAATTTCTATCAAATACGAAAAAAACGTATAAGCTTAATAAATTAATAAGAGAAAAGATATTTACATGAAATAAGAAAATCTTCAGTCAAAAATTTGTTATGATTTTATTAGATATACTCAAACTAATTATTGTTATTAATGGGAAAATTATGTTTATTCTTACATAGAATACTCTAGATTATTTCCTACAAAATATGTTCAAACCAGTTGCTCTTAAAGGATTAACAACTCTAAAAATATTACTTCAAAAGAGCTAAATGAAGTAAATATTCTATATTAATTTTATTAATAAACTTTTGAGTCAAATAATTTAAATGAAAATATTTTATTTCAGCTTAATATGTTTTCAAATGAGAACAGTTTTAATGTTATTGTACGTATACTTAGGATGGCACGTGATTTTTAAGCAACCTTTAGTAATCTCTTTGCAAAACAGCTTTTTTAAAATTATTTCTCGTGGAAGACCACCATCAGAAGACGTCCGTAAGCACTTTGAAAAAGTTACAGAAGTTAATGGACGTGGTCGAAAAACACCTCGTCAAAATCGTAATTATTGTGGAAATGACATTATTGATTTAATTGGTCGATTAAAAGATCATTTGATGAAATGTAAATGAGAAGACTTAAAAATTAATAAAATGCTTAACAAATATGTATTACGTAGTAAAGGCTAGTAAAGTGCTTAATGTTTTAAACGCCAAAATTATTTTAAAACATATTTTTTGTCATCCCTAAATGTAGTATCTGAATTAAATTGTGTATAGGAAACATTCTTTTTTATCACATATCAAAAATTGAAACATAATTGTGCAACGCTGATATGATAAGGCTTCTAGTAATTTAAATTTTGATCGTATTATTATTATTTTTTAATAAAAACTTTTTTCCTTACAAAAGATAAAAATGATAAATCAAAAATAGAAAATGATTTCCATAAAAGAGAAAAAAGAATAAATTAAAAAAATGGTAAGTGATTTCCTTTCGAAAGTTTTGCGCCAAGATGTCCTAATCCTTTTCAAGATTTGATTGTCAACCGGCAATTTAAAAGAAATTTCTTTTTTTTTTTTCAGTTACTCCGAAAAAATACAAAGAAATTTATACCAGCATTTAAAAATGATTGTATAATCATCTGACTACCAAATCTGTAACTCGGCTTTTGCATGTGATAATTTAATGGTTTCTCAAAAATTTTTTTAGGGGAATGACGTCATTACCTAAACATTTTGCACCCAAGGCGCGGTTTTATATGATCACATGAAATTTATTTATACAGTTTACAGTAGGATCGGCATCGTGCATTAAATAGAAACCGCGCCCACAAAACCGACATGCAAACATTTTCTCTACCCTTAAGGAAATTTCTATGTATAATGAGTTGAATGAAAACTCCGAGTTTAATAAATAAAAGAAAAGGTATTTATATGGATTTACAATTTTGTAAAATTCTTCCTTAAATTTATCATGGATAATTCAACAAATAAACGTAAAATTAAATTTTTATCGTCGAGTGAATATATGTATATAATATATATATACATATATATATATATAGACACACAACCAAAACAAAATAAGGTTGAAACAAAATACAAAAAAAAGCAATGTATCGAATGTAATAAAATAAGAAAACCTTCAAACAAGAATCATCAAGTTTGTCAAGTTTGTTACAATGCAAAAAAAAGAATTACACCAAGCGGAAATAAAGTTATTGATGATTTTATCAGATATACTCATACTAATTGTCCTAACAAAAAAAATGGGAGAATGATATTTGTTCCTTATGAAAATTTTAAAAATATTGAACCTATCGGTGAAGGAGGTTTTAGTAAAATTTATAAAGCTACTTGGATTGATTGTAAAATTTCAAATCGGGGTACTCTAGATTATTCTTTACGAAATAATTCTCAAACAGTTGCTCTTAAAAAACTTAACGATTCTAAAAATATTACATCAAATGAACTAAATGAGGTAAATATTTCCATATTAATTTTTATTAATAAATTTTAAATTCAAGACAAATAATTTATACTAATAAATTTTATTTAGCTCAAGATGTTTTATCATTATTCTTCAGAAGGGAATTTAAGAGATGTTTATAGTAATCATCGTAGTCTTGTTAATGTATATTATGGTATTACTCAAGATCCTATTACTCGAGATATTATATTTATCATGCCATATTATAATTCGGATTTGACACATTATATAACTAAGGACTTTTATAATATTAGTTGGTATCATAAAAAACTTTATTTGCAAGACATTATAAATGGACTTGCTAAAATTCATGATGCAAATATTATACATCGTGATCTACATAGTGGGAACATTCTTTTAAATGATTATAGAGCAAAAATATGTGATTTAGGAACAAGTAAATCTGCAACTGAATCAACGGATTATGAAGAAGAGATTTATGGCATAATTCCTTATGTTGCACCAGAGGTTTTACAAGGAAAAAAGTATACCAAAGCTTCAGATATATATAGTTTTGGAATGATAATGTGGGAAATAATAGTAGGAAGAAGACCTTTTTGGGATAGAAATCATAATACAGAACTTATAATTGAAATATGTGATGGTTTACGTCCACCAATTATTACAAATGCACCTGAAGATTATATTGATTTAATGAAAGAATGCTGGCATTCTGATCCAGAAAAAAGACCAACAGCAGTTGAAGTATTAAAAAAGATTGAAGAAATATGGAGAATTGATACAATAATTGGGGGATATTCAAAAACTAAGATTATAAAGTCGCCTAAAATTGGGCCCGTAACAACGAATAATCCTGATGCCATATATAAGAGTAGACACTTAAGTGTAATGATAAAATCTGCTGCTTCTGCAAGAATTTCAAGAAGCCAACCTATTGCTTTAGATCTTGGTAAATAATTTGTAATATTGATTGTATTTTTTTCATATGATTTTAATTATTTTAACTTTCGTTCAATTATTTAGATCGACTCGATTATCGCCAAAGAAATTTTAACGGTAATTATTTATTTGTTTGATATAAACTTTTATTTCATATGAATTATTATTAACAAATTATATAATTTCTTAAGATAAAAGAAAGTTTGAAGACAATCAATTTGGAAACAGCTTTGATAATGGTATGGTAAAAAAATTTTCATTATGAAGAAGAAACCAATATTTATTTTAAATATTTTTTTAGGTACAAGTAATAAAAAGATTAAACCAATTGAAGACGAAAATAATGGTAAATATTAATTGTTTTTACAAATATATTTTTTGGAAATTAATTAAATTAATTAATTTTTATTTTTTTCCGTTTAGTTTACGCTACAAAGGAATTTGAATTTGATATCGACATAAATTCTAGACAATCTAAAGATGATGGTAAGTTAAATATATGATAAAATTTCAATACTTAAAAAAATTTATAATCTAATATATTTTTCTTCATTACAGGATATATCACTAGAGAAATCGATTTTGATATTTTGTAATTATTTTTTGAACCCGCTTTGAATGTCTTAATTTATTTAATTTATTCCATATTATTATCATTATACATATTTGTTATATAATTATCATAAGTTATAGTTTATCTACAATATACTTATTTATACTATATGACAACAATAAAATGGATATCGATAATTACTAAAAATATTATTTATAATGTACGGGAAATACTACTTACGATTTAAATATGAAGTTTAAAATTTGCATTACGTATATTGAAATCTGAATGATCTTTCAAAATTTAATTCTATGCCGTATCACTAGTATCACCTGACAGGTAGTGAGAAATTTTCAAATACTCGTGACTGAAATTAAGAAAAAATTTCAAATTTACAATTAATTTTGGTTATACAATTATTTATCATTATTAAAAAGAGTTTTCCATCGGAAATTACATCTTATATTCTTACATGGATGTATATGATACCCCAAAATTTTTTTTCAATTAAAGTTCATGGAAAAATTGGCAAATATTAAAAATAATGACGCACTTTCAAAGTTAACCAACACGGACAATATTGAACCATAGCGTAAACACATTAAAATTATTTTGTATATCCTATATACTGTATGTATGAAAAATGAAATATTTCATTAGAAAAAATATTAAAAAAATTCGCTCATGAGGTAAAAATTATTGTGTAACTTTATGAAGTGTTCAGTCTTTCAGTTGAAGACTTGAAATTATCAGCAAATCTTCAAAAGGACACGTTAAAGATTAGAATGACACATCAAAGGTTTCTTTTGAAGATATTGGATTGGACAAGTAAGTAGGATATATTTTATTAATCTTATTCACTTAATTTAACTTCGTGTATGGTACAAATTAACTAAATAATTGATTTATACAAAACCATTCTATCAGAATTAAGATTTTTATAAGTTGCATATTATATGAGACTTTTAACGTGGAAGAGGAATTATACGTTAAATACTCTACTATTATTCAGTTTAATATCTTAAATAAGAACGAGTAATCAATGATATTTGCTTACAAATGCGAATTAATCGAATATTCGATGATCGGTTACCGTATCTTCACTGAGTCCGCTCCGATGATCTTTCTGGGTCCAGTCATGTCAATTTTTAGCACAGTCATGTGAATTTAGATGCAGACCGAATTTAAACTTTGATCGGACTTCGCTACCATCAGACTGAGTTAAATGTGCTATGTAAGTCCTATGATTTTGATCAATCGGACCGAACTAAATTTACATGACCAACCTACATTTGATTTAAATAAATATTTTATACAATAAAATGTTTAAAAACTTCGTATAACAAAAATTAAATGCATCCTAATTTTATTGAAACAAGAGTTTCCTAGCAATTTATACTATATCAATTATCATTTACTAAAACCATTATCTCATTAAATATTTTTAAATAGTAAAAAAAATTTTTTTAATAAAAAAAAAAAATCGTGTAGATCAAGCTTTATAATCAATCGGAAATCACTGGACCGCATGGTCCGATGATCCGGACCCGATAGAAAGGTTCCGAACGTTAATTCAAACCAGACTTGTGATGACGAAATAAAGATGACGTTAATGTTAAGAACGATTTCATCCTACAAAACTTATAAGATTTTTCTTATACTCTAGTAGATACTTGAGGAAAAAAAATAATTCACTTAACAAAAAAAAAAAAATTTCAATTATTTGGATTAATGTATCACATAAAAATAATCAAATTTAACAAAAAAAAGAAATTTCTTTTTCTTCCAGCTATGTTGTATCACCTGACAGATAATGAGAAATACAAAGAAATTTAGATTCTTATTTCGTTGTACAGTATATTTGTACATTTAATGATCTCTTATCGGTATTTTTATTCGCGGCAATTAATGAGAAAAAGTATTTATTTGGGTGTTTACAATACCTTTTTTTACAATGCACAAAATTTGGAGATTATACAAAAAAGAAACACTGATGATTTTTGTGGAAGGACGTGAACATCGCTTTAGTAATTTTCTAATTTAATAATATCTGATATAGTATTTTGATCATGTATTAAATTCGAGCCTTTTGACATGGAAGGTATTATTAAATTTTTGATATACCGTAGCTTACTTATTTTGATAGAACGTTAATTTCCGAAGTCTTATTTCCAGTTGAATTCCTATAAAATATTCTTGACGTTAACATTAAGAAACGATTTCATTCTACAAAAACTTGTCGAATTTTTCTTATATTCTAGATATTTAACTGAAAATAAAGATAATTTACTTGACTAAATAATAAGGAATTTTAACAAAGAAAAAAAAAAAAAAATTTGATTAGCTTCCGTCATTTGAGTAATACACAAAAAAAAATTTCTAATTTTAAGTTGTATCACCTGGGGAATACGAAATTTAGACTTCTTACCAAAAAAGAAAGAAATTTCTTTTTTTTCCAGAATTTAATTCTATGTTGTATCACTCGACAGTTAATAAAGAAATTTAGCTACTAAAATGGTGTAACTATAATTAGAAAATCTATCAAGAAGAGAGATTCGCATTCTATTTGTATATTTAATGATTTCTTAAGGAAATTTCTGTCGGAAATTGCACACAGAATTTGGATGAAATACATTAACTCCTGTTTAATCAATTAATGAGAATTAGTATTTATATGGATGTTTACAATACTTTTACAGTGCTCAAAATTTCTTAAATCTATCATGGAAGAAAAATCAGAAAAACCAACAAACATTGAACATATAAATGATATTTTATCAAATGACGAACTTTCAAATCACCTAACACAAAAAACTAAATTAAAAACTAAATTAAAACAATTAAAACGTAAATACAAACGCAAACCCAAACCCAAACCCCAAAAAAAGATATATAAGGAACGTAGTGAATGTAGTGAATGTAATAAAATAAGATTACCTTCAGACGAAAATAATCAAATATGTTATACTTGTTTCCACGCAAAAAAAGGAAATATGCCAAGTGGAAATAAAATTATTGATGATTTTATCAATTATACCCATACTAATAATCCTAGAAGAATAAATGTGAAAATGATATACGTTCCTTATGAAAAATTCAAAAATATAGAACTTATTGGCGAAGGAGGTTTTAGTAAAATTTATAAAGCTACTTGGATTGATTGTAAAATTTCTCCTTGGGGTCTTCTAGATTATTCCTTACGAAATAAGTCTAAAATAGTTGCTCTTAAAAAGCTTAACAACTCTAAAAATGTTACTTCAAAAGAGCTAAACGAGGTAAATATTTCCATATTAATTTTATTAATAAATTTCAAATTCAAGACAAATAATTTAAACTAATAAATTTTTATTTAGCTCAAAATATTTTATCATTATTCTTTCAGTTATTATGATCTTTACGATATCTATTCTAGTTATGTTAATATATATTATGGCATTACTCAAGATCCTGTTACTCAAGATCTTATATTTATTATGCCATATTATGATTCGGATTTGACACATTATATAACTAAATGTTTTTTTAATATTGATTGGTATTATAAGATACTTAAATTGCAAGACATTATTTATGGACTTGCAAAAATTCATGATGTAAATATTATACATCGAGATTTACATAGTGGAAATATTCTTTTAGGTAAATTATATTATGAATCTCATTCTGATGAAAAAGCAAGAATATGTGATTTAGGAACAAGTAAATCTGCAACTGAATCAACAGATTATGAAGATGAGATTTATGGTATAATTCCTTATGTTGCACCAGAGGTTTTACAAGGAAAAACGTATACAAAAGCTTCAGATATATATAGTTTTGGAATGATTATGTGGGAGTTGATGGTAGGAAGAAGACCTTTTTGGGATAGAAATCATAATACAGAACTAATAATTGAAATATGTGACGGTTTACGTCCATCAATTATTACAAATGCACCTGAAGGTTATATTGATTTAATGAAAGAATGCTGGCATTCTGATCCAGAAAAAAGACCAACAGCAGCTGAAGTATCAAAAAAGATTCAAGAAATATGGAGAATTGATACAATATTTGGAGGATATTCAAAAACTAAAATCATAATATCGTCAGATATTGGACCTGTAACAACAAATAATCCTGATGCCATATATAAGAGTAGATATTTAAGTGGTATGATAAAATCTGCAGCTTCTACAAGAAGTTTAAGAAGCCAATCTATTACTGTAAAACTTGGTAAATATTTATAATTTAATTGTATTTATTTCATAGTAATATAATTTTAATTATTTTAACTTTCGTTCAATTACTTAGATCAACTTGATTTTGACCAAAGAAATTCTAATGGTAATTATTTGTTTGATATAAATTTTATATTTAGTTAGTATTGTAATTTAACGGTTTGTATAATTTTTTTTTTAAGTTAAAAGAAAGTTTGAAGATAATCAATTTGAAAATAACTTTATCAATGGTACGGTAAAAAAAAATTTTTTATTATGATGAAGTAGCCATATTGATTTTAAAATATATATATACTGTATATATATTTTTAGGTACAAGTAATAAAAAGATTAAACCAATTGAAGACAAAAATAATGGTAAATATTAATTGTTTTTACAAATATATTTTTGGAAATTAATTAAATTAATTAAATTTTATTTTTTCCGTTTAGTTTACGCTACAAAAGAACTTGAATTTGATATCGACATAAATTCTAGTCAATCTAAAGATGATGGTAAGTTAAATATATGATAAAATTTCAATACCTAAAAAAAATTTATAATCTAATATATTTTTCTTCATTACAGGATATATCACTAGAGAAATCGATTTTGATATTTTTTTGAACCCGCTTTGAATGTCTTAATTTATTTAATTTATTCCATATTATTATCATTATACATATTTGTTATATAATTATCATAAGTTATAGTTTATCTACAATATACTTATTTATACTATATGACAACAATAGTACAACAATAAAATGGATATCGATATTACTAAATAATATTATTTATAATGTACGGGAAATACTATTTACGATTTAAATATGAAGTTTAAAATTTGCACTACGTAATTGAAATCTGAATGATCTTTCAAAATTTAATTCTATTCTGTAGTGAGAAATTTTCAAATACTCGTGACTGAAATTAAGAAATCTATCGAGAAAAAATTTCAAATTTACAATTAATTTTGGTTATACAATTATTTATCATTATTAAAAAGAGTTTTCCATCGGAAATTACATCTTACATTCTTACATGGATGTATATGATACCCCAAATTTTTTTTTCAATTAAAGTTCATGGAAAAATTGGCAAATATTAAAAATAATGACGCACTTTCAAAGTTAACCAACACGGACAACAATTGAACCATAGCGTAAACACATTGAAATTATCCTATATACTGTATGTATGAAAATGAAATATTTCATTAGAAAAAATATTAAAAAAATTCGCTCATATTTACCATTATATTTTCCTAATACGATTTTATAAATACAATAATACTGCAACTATAAGTATATTGTAAACTATTGTTGAGGTTTAACTGTAAAAATTATTGTGTAACTATATGAAGTTGTTCAGTCTTTCAGTTGAAGACTTGAAATTATCAGGAAATCTTCAAAAGAACACGTTAAAGATTAGAATGACACATCAAAGGTTTCTTTTGAAAATATTGGATTGGACAAGTAAAATATATTATATTAATCTTATTCACTTTAATTAACCTCGTGTATGGTACGATACAAATTAACTAAATAATTGATTTAATAATATGAGGTACAAACCATTCTACCAGAATTAAGATTTTTATAAGTTGTATATTATATTCAAGACTTTTACCGTTTTAACGTGGAAGAGGATTATATGTTAAATATTCTACTATTATTCATCAATGATATTTGCAAATGCGAATTAATCGAGTATTCGATGATTGGTTACCGTTTTTTATACCGGACACCATAAGGCATAACCTTTTTTTGATATACGTTTTTTGATATAACTTATTTTGGAGTATATCTTTTACTGAGTCCGGTCCAATGATCTTTCTGAGTCCAGTCATGTGAATTTTTAGCACAGTAATGTGAATTTTGATGCAGACCGAATTTAAACTTTCGCTAGTACCATCGGACTGAGTTAACTGTGCTGAGTCCTGTGATTTTGACCAAACTACATTTACATGACCGATCTACATTTTATTTTTTTTTCTTGTATTAGTTGTAGATTTAAATAAATATTTTTTATACAATAAAATGATTAAAAACTTATAACAAAAATTAATTGCATCTTAATTTTATTGAAACAAGAGGTTCCTAGCAATTTATACTATATCATCTACTAAAATCATTATCTCATTAAATATTTAATAGTAAAAAAAAAATTTTTTTTTAATAACTCTCATTATAAAGCGAACGGCAAAAAAAAATCGTTTAGATCATCAAGTAATTCACTGGACCGCATGGTCCGATGATCCGAACCCAAATTCACATGACTGTGCTATAAATTGACGAACGTAAGGCATAACTTCTTATTTTGATATAAAAGTTCCGAGCGTTAATTTCAAACCATACTTGTGATAACGAATTCCCACAAAATGAAGATGACGTTAATGTTAAGAACGATTTCATCCTACAAAACTTATCAAGATTTTTCTTATACTCAGTCTAACAAAAAAAAAATTTCATAAAAATAATCAGATTTAACCAAAAAAAGAAATTTCTTTTTCTTTCAGCTATGTTGTATCACCTGACAGATAATGAGAAATACAAAGAAATGTAGATTCCACCGCAATTATTTCGAATTTTATTGGTGTACAGTAGTATATTTGTAAATTTAATGATCTCTTATCAATATTTCTATTCAATTAATGAGAAAAAGTATTATTTATTTGGGTTTTTACAATACTTCTTTTTACAATGCATAAAATTTGGAGATTATACAAAAAAGAAACCATTGATGATTTTTGTAGAAGGACGTTTTGCAGAGGATAAGCAAATTTATAATTTCGACTTCAGAGATAGGTCTCCGTTTTGCCTGGACAAATAATATCTAATATAGGATTTTGTGTGATATAACCAAAATTAAGATCATTATAAGCTGTATATTAAATTCGAGCCTTTTGACATGGAAGGTATTATCAAAGAGGGAAGGTAGTTGCTACAAGGTATTTTTTTTACCGATATAACAATTATTTATAATAATTAGTTAATTATATGTTATAATATCCTATGTGAATTAATCGAATATTGTAAGTTTTTTAGGCGTTTTTTTGATAAAGCTTACTTATTTTGATAGAACGTTAATTTATTTCCAGACTCGTGATGTTGAATTCCTTTAAAATAAACTCGATGTTAACGTTAAGAAACGATTTCATTCTACAAAAACTTGTCGAAATTTTTCTTATATTCTAGATATTTAACTTGAGGAAAATAAAGATAATTTACTTAACCAAATAATAAGGAAGTTTAACAAAGAAAAAAAAATATTATTTATTAGCTCCCATTATTATTTGAGTTAATGTATTGCATAAAAATACACAAAAAAAAATTTCTAATTTTAGGTTATATCACCCAAAAGATAATGGGGAATACAAAGAAATTTAGACTTACACAAAAAAGAAAGAAATTCTTTTTTTCCAGAATTTAATTCTATGTTGTATCACTCGACAGTTAATAAGAAATTTAGACTACTCAAATGGTGTAACTATAATTAGAAAATCTATCAAGAAAAGAGATTCGAATTTTATTTATTAAGGAAATTTCTATCGGAAATTGCATACAGAATTTGGATGAAATATGATAACTCCTATTTAATCAATTATGAGAATTAGTATTTATATAGATGTTCTTTTACAGTTCTTAAAATTTCTTAAATCTAATCATGGAAGAAAAATCAGAAAAATCAACAAACATTGAACATATAGATGATATTTTATCAAATGACGAACTTTCAAATCACTCAACACAAAAAACTAAATTAAAATGTAAATACAAACGCAAATTCAAACCCAAAAGAAAGTTACTATGTAATGAATGCAATAAATTAAGAATACCAATGAAAAAAAAAAAAAAATTAAATATATATCAGACAGAAATAATCAGATTTGTTATATTTGTTACAATGCAAAAAAAAAAATTATACCAAGTGGAAATAAAATTATTGATGATTTTATCAAATATATTCAAACTAATTACGCCAAAAATAATGGGAAAATGGTGTTTGTTCCTTATGAAAAATTCGAAAATATAGAACTTATTGGTGAAGGAGGTTTTAGTAAAATTTATAAAGCTACTTGGACTGATTCTAAAATTTCAGATCGGGGTACTCTAGATTATACCCTACGAAGTAAACCTAAAACAGTTGCTCTTAAAAAGCTTAACAACTCTAAAAATGTTACTTCAAAAGAGCTAAATGAGGTAAATTTCCATATTAATCTATTAATAAATTTTAAATATAAGGCAAATAATAAACAAATAACTTTTTTTTAGCTTAAGATGTTTTATCATTATTCTTTAATGGAGACAAATATAAGTAATATTTACAGCACAATTAATGTATATTATGGTATTACTCAAGATCCTGTTACTCAAGATATTATATTTATTATGCCATATTATAATTCGGATTTGGCACACTATATAACTAAAGATTTTTTTAATATTGATTGGCAATATAAGATGTTTAATTTGAAAGACATTATTTATGGACTTGCAAAAATTCATGATGTAAATATTATACATCGAGATTTACATAGTGGAAATATTCTTTTAGCTAAAGTAAACTATTATTCTAAAAATGTAGAAGCAAAAATATGTGATTTAGGAACAAGTAAATCAGCAACAGAAAATGACGATAATAATGATAATGAAGAAGACAACATTTATGGCATAATTCCTTATGTTGCACCAGAGGTTTTACAAGGAAAAAAGTATACCAAAGCATCAGATATATATAGTTTTGGAATGATTATGTGGGAGTTAATGGTAGGAAGAAGACCTTTTTGGAATAGAAATCATAATACAGAACTTATAATTGAAATATGTGATGGTTTACGTCCACCAATTATTACAAATGCACCTGAAGGTTATATTGATTTAATGAAAGAATGCTGGCATTTTGATCCAGAAAAAAGACCAACACCAGATGAAGTAAAAAGAAAAATTTTTAATATACGTTACAATGGGATGCCTAAAATTATAGAATCATCAGATATTGGACCTGTAACAACAAATAATCCTGATGCCATATATAAGAGTAGATATTTAAGTGGTATGATAAAATCCGCAGCTTCTACAAGAAGTTTAAGAAGTCAATCTATTAGTACTTCAGAACTTGGTAAATAATTTGTAATGTTAATTATTTTTTTATAATATAACTTTTTAAAATTATTTTAACTTTCGTTCAATTAGATCAACACCAGAAGAATTCTAACGGTAATTACTATTTATTTGTTTGATATAATTTTTTATATTTAGTTAGTATTGTAATTTAACGAATTTATAATTTTTTTTAAGATAAAAGAAAGTTTGAAGATAATCAATTTGAAAGTAACTTTACCAATGGTATGGCAAAAAATTTCATTATGAAGAAGAAACCAATATTTATTTAAAATATATATATTTTTTTTTTAGGTACAAGTAATAAAAAGATTAAACCGATTGAAGACGAAAATAACGGTAAATAGTAATTTTTTTTTTCACATATAATTTTCATAGTAAAATTTTATTTTTTTTATTTAGATTACGCTACAAAAGAACTTGAACTTGATATCGATATGAATCCTAAGCAAATTAGTGATGATGGTACGTAGATATAATAATAATTAACAATATTTAATTTACAATCTAATATGTACATTTAACTTTAATTTTATAGAATATATTACTACCGAAATCAATTTTGATATTTAATAATTAATTTTTTTTTTTTTTTTTTTTTTTTGAAAGAAATAATTGTTTTCCCGTATTTGTTGTTAGCTTTTATTTAATTACAAGTATTGAGAAACCATATGAAGAGTAAGTCAGAAGAATGATCATAGTTATTTTCCAATTTATTTAGAAATTGTACTGTAATTCTGGAATGGTATCATTTTAATTGAGCCGTTGTATTTACGCTTAAATTTAAAAGACAATCACTAGTCACGTGGCTTATATTTATTAATGCCAAAACTTTTGACACTCTCCGCATGATTAACCGGGTAACAAAAGAGGATTTCTCGACAATTTATGAAATCAGTTACGTAAAAACTGGAAATAGCTATAAATCTTAATATAAAACGAATGTTAATATCGAGTCTCTTGTCAACAAATGAATATCATGTATCTATCATGTTATACTGTATATACCATTAATTTATTCTATATCTCTGATTGTCAAAAATAAGTCGATTGAAACAATTTCATTATTAATTGTATGTTCGAAAAAGTGTACAAATTCAACTATGACTCGTGATACGTTAGTGCCACAAGGTCAAGAATTGACTTACGTACACACTGACCGGAGTTAAGTTTAACGCTATCACGTGCACGGACGTTCAAGAAATTATATCATGTGATCTAGTAATTCTGGTCAAACCTATCAATAGTGCTCGCTAAATTATTCTCATGTGAGCAGTAACCAATCATAAGCCTCACTTAGTTTTAGAATTGCACTGAATTCATGTGATCGCGATAATTCTTACTTACCAGCAATAAAACAGTAAATTGCAACCAGCGGCTGAATAATTACGCTTTTATTTCCTTGTTTTATTTGAAGATTTAGATGTTAGCAATTTAAGATTTCAGACAGTTTCATCTCCATAAGTATTCTCTCTATTATTATAAAATAAATAATAAGAACTTTACTGAACTTTCTTCAAAGGAACCCGATTTAATCATTAAGATTAAAAGGGATGTATGACTACACCTTCATGAATATAGTATGTTACTGTATATTTCTTTGTAAAATGACTTTATGCAGGTCGCTTTAGGCACGTACCTATGGTCAACCTAGGCTAGATTTAACGAACTACTGTTATTTCTTTACAATTGAAATTTTGAGTGTCTGAACTCTTCTTTATTATTCCAAGAATAAATGGGATAATATTAACTTTAGCATTTTATTTTTTTTCTTGATCGATTACTTTATCGCAATTGAATGATTAGAATTTACTAGTAGTTTTTTATTACATGCGTTATATAATTTGATTAACTCACCTAAATTATTACACGTATGAGGCTAATAATATTCTGTTATAAAATATTTGAAAATTTAATTTAGCATTATTATAATAAATTCGTTGGATGTTAGATAATAAGTCATTGTCAATCAATAAAAAGTAGCTTTTCCGCTTTATGATAGTAAAAATTTTTTAATGTATGTTTTTATCTTTACCTCCTAATACTAACTGTATGTTTCATTCATCAAATTTTCTTAAGAAAAATTATATAAACTGGTTTAATCTTATTCGATTATTATTAGTTTTATATACTTTTAAAACTATCTTTACCTCAAAGTTTTTCTTATTTCATTCCGTATCATTTCTCAATCTAAAAGGTAGGATAACTTTTATGTACAAAATTTAATATACCTACAAAATTATAAAATACTAATTTCAATTGGCATGTCTTAATTGGACGAATGGATATTGTTAAAATTATTATTTTTTTTTTTTTTAAAAAAAACTGTAACGCATTTTTTTTATTAGGGATTAAATCCAAATCACGAAATACATTGAGCCGCACGTGCAACCACGATACGTCGATACGTCCCTGTCGTCCCTCTAACAGAGTTTAATCTATCCTAATACAAAAAACAAACAGAAATATTTAAAAAGAAAAACAAACCCACTCCTCAGAATCAAACTAAAGTAAGCTGGACCTATTCTATCTACTTAAACAAATTACAGGGAAAAAAATTTCGAGAAAAAATTTGTCATAAGACTGAAATCTATGCCGTAAAAAAAAAAACAGACGGGACCAAGCAGTCCCGCGTCAAGTAACAAATCCCAACTTCTTCCCCCATCCCTGTTATACCGACCAAGATCCGGCACAGAAACCTTTAAAATTTTTCTTCTCGAAAATTTTTATTCATGCAAAGCATAAGAGATAATACAATCTATATATATGTCCGACTTCTTATAGGTCGATTGGAATAAATGATATTAGCAAATATTATCATTTTAAAGTAATATATCTTTAAGTTGATATTAAAGTGTCTTTCAAATTAAATCCATTTCCCTTTGTTCTTTTAATTTTGTTTCACTAAAAATATAATAAATTATATTCGTTATTCTCAAAATTAGTTCCTCGATTTGTTTTTATTCCTCTTTTGACCGAAATAATAAGTACATAACCTTTTTTTTTAAAAAAAATTATAATTTAAACGATATTTATTTATAACACAAGCAAACATTGGTTATTCTTTATTATAATTAATAACTGTATATCCTAAAAATGATGATTATCATTGCAAGACATAAAGACCTGTTTGCTATATATTATATTATAATTAAAATAATAATACATCGTTATTATGTTAAATTTAACAATCGGGTAATCCGAAAAAAAAAAATCTGGAAAATAAGTATATCGGAGTAAATCCGGTTCCAATTAATTAATCAATCGGCATGAACATTTTTTTATTAACTCTTTTATTTAAATTAGTACTTCATATTACAGTATTTTGCATCAAAATAAAATAAATAAAATGAACTTTAATGAATTATATTGGAATTATTGAATTATGGATTTTTGGGAAGTACAAGTTAATTATCGGATAATTTGTCTAAAATTATAGTAAGATCCGAAATAAACATAAGGGAATAAACATAAGGGAGGGATGAGATCTTTATTACGTCACGAACCATGAGATTCAATCCCTTAAAGGCTTAAAGGGGGTGTCCAAGACTATAACGTCACATACTACTTTTTCATTTTACTAGGTGTATAACGGTGTATTAGCCACATTTTTTGCCACTGATAAAATTTCACGATTTTCACACTTACGCAATAATTAAAAATAAAATACGATTTAACTGTTTAAAAGTGAATTAGAATTTTCAAAAGTAAAAAATTCGCATTATTTTTAATAAACTCTTCAAAATTATGTTAAAACTAATTAAAGTCGCACAAAATCACACTTTTCTTTGTCTAATTCATACATTTTTTTGGATGGTCCAATTCGTACTCATACACAATACTTATTTGTTCGGTAATGTTGTAAATGTAACCCTGAAATCACAATAATGAATACAAAAGAGTTGACATAATCTAAATAATACTTAATATAATATAATATACCGTAATCCTGTTATTTCATAAATATGCCAAGAATTTTACATGTCGGATATATTAATTATTTTTTTTTTTTTACGAATGAGGATATTAAAGATTTCTAAATCTTTATGGCAAATTCATTAAAAAAAATAAATTTTTTAATACTTCCCTTCCCAATGGGCTTTCTTCCTAATGAGCTTTTTCATAAATTTAGAATAAATTGTCATGCCAAGTAAAAAAAAAAATTTCTTTATGTAAAATTAATAGAAAGTGTGACAAAGTATGGATAAGGTAATTGGCGGAATTTTGCCAAGAAAAAAAATTTTTTTTTTTTCTCGTTTCAGCCGCTGCTGGCGTTCTTACTATATAAAGTGTTCAATTGATGATGATCTACATGTTTAACCTGCGGCTTAAGCCTTTTAGCTTTAATCAACGTTATTATTAGGACAATTCTCGAAGCGAATAATATGAATAAGAATAATAAATGATATTTCCAATATTGTCGATATTGTATACATTTTTGTTTGATAAATCGGCTGAAGGCTTTTTAAAGTTATCTTTATCTACATTTTTATACAAATATGGAAAATTTTTTGGTTTTTTTTTAATATGAAACGATAAATTACAACAAATGTAATGAACGCAATAAAAGAAAACTTTAAAAAAAATTGACCTGTAGGTAATGTCCCGTCCTGTCGCCACACTTTTTAAGTGAATTCGTCATATGATTAAAGACGAACCAATAATTCCAATGAAGCCAATAAAGAATATGATTTTTTTGAAAAGTTTCATGTTCATAAAGAAACATTGTTAACATGAGTACAAAAAATTGTATTCAAAAGATATTTTGAGATATTTGGCTGTATGAATTGCGTCAGTTGCATCAATGCGCAGAAATGCGCAGAAATGCATCACGGAACCCGGATCCATTTTCATTTCACGTGACAATAGTAAAAGATTAAAAATTCATTTCTTTCTCTCTTTTCTTATTTTTTTCTTTCCTTCGAATAATAACAAACATATTTAATTACATGCATTTTAGTTTATTTTCTTTTGAGTTCATCGACTTTTCAGTTCAATCCCATTTAGAAAATACCGTATCTATCTTCATTAGGTTTTGATTCAATATATCGAATTGCCTATTTATTCTTTCCCTTATTTTTCAATCCAAACAAATAAATCTCAAAAACGTTAAATCTATTTATATAAAAGTTTGCTTACCTTTTAAAGTAATATCATAATAATTTGTTTATTATCCGTTTTATTAGCCAAATAGATCATTGATGTCGTTTTGATTTAAAATAGGAAATAGGAAATTTTGTCGGTTACAAACTTATGACCCGAGTTAAGGTGACACGACCTTCTTTTACCCATGAAAATGATGAATATAACTAGGGTGTTATATCGGGTATCAACATAATGTATAAACTCATATAAACGGCATATAACGTAACTCGAAAACGTAACAGTTCATACTAACGATATATATCAACAAAGGGAAATGAGATTTTTTTTTGAAAAAAAATAAAATAAAATAAAATAAAAATTAAAAAGAAATATAATAATCAGAATCAAAAAGATTTACTAAAATAACGTGATTATTTACTTTTTTGTACTTCTTATTTTTGACGATTTCAAAAAGGGATCCATGAAAATATATTGGATAAAAGAAAGAAAGAAATTTCTTTCTTTTCTTTCTAAAAACAATATTTTTTTTTTTTTTTTTTTTTTTTTTTTTTTTTATAAACAGATTTGTGTAATAAATTATTAATTTATTATCCCGAATATGACTGGTTTGTACCTTTTGTTTCACTAAATAGTTATGAAAATCAACTTTAAAAAAGTGAACCATATGATTACGATTTAATCGCATGTAAATGTCGTACGACATTTTTATGATTATGTGTTTGAATCTTTTATGACAAAATTGGTTAGAATTATTAATAGATTCCGTTACTTTCATGTTTGTTTCGGACTCGCCCTTTCGGGTGATAGACATGAATTTGAAAAAATAAAATAAAATAAAAGTTCTATTTTTAAATCAATTGATTTTTTTTCTTGAAATAATTTATTGAATTCACAGCTGCGAATACATTTGAAGAAAAAAAAAAGTGTGAACTAAAAATAAAGTGCAAATTTGAATGTTTTATGTGTAATTTTTTTTTTATGATTTTTTCTAAATATAAATAAAAATTTGAAAAAAAAAAATATTAAAAATAATAATATATCATCGATCATAAAACTAAATTATTAATTATTAATGCTCTAAAAAAGAAATGCTTCTATGTTAAAAAATTTTTACACGATAAAACACCCAGAAATTAAATTACATGACTATTATAATTAACCAATGAAAAAAAAATGTTTTCTCTAGATGAAAGTTAATGCAAAAAGTATGCAAAAAAATGTAAAATACAATTAAAAACAAATTATTTAACAAGAAAAAAATTAAATCGAAAAAAAATGTTTTTGTTGTTTTTTCTAATTAATTTCTCATGAACCGAAAAATTAATTTTCTGTTTCTAAATGTAATTCAATGGCGGTTTTACCAGGGGTACCCTTGTTTAGAACGAACAAATAATTATGTCTTCCTGGTGTGAAAATATTGGCATGTGGTGGTAATGTGATGTCCATTGTATAACCTGAATCTGATTTTTTTACATTATCAACCTTTAATTCAACAACTCTAGCGGACATATGTTGTGAATGTGTTACGAAACCCATATGTGATAATGAAGAAGTAAATTGAGGGGTTGGTGAATCAACTTCAACTTCTACAGAAATTGTTTGTCCATATTTAACAGGAATTGCATCAGCATCATTAAGTTTGGTATGTCCAGCAACCTTTGTAATTGTTGGTCGAGATACTCCATTTAATAAGTATGGTGGATAGAATTTTTCAGCTCTATGTTCAGTTGGATGTTCACATTGATCCATACCACAATAATATCTATTTGGATTACTACCAGCAACGAAAACTGTACCATCAGGAACTAAAGTAGCAGATGAATGATAAACTCTTACAATTGGATCTTCAGCGAATTTACTCCATCTTGAACCTTTCTTTACATGAGGATTATATAAAAGAGGATTCCTTGTTGGTTTACCAGCAGTATGAAGTCTTGGAGTTTTATTTGTAGCTTTTTTATCCCATCCTGCCATACCAGTTCCAGCACCATTAACATATAATAATTTACCATCAGGTAAATGAATAACATCAGGCATTAAACGACCAGTTTCCATATTAGGTCCAAATTCATCTTCATCCCATTGAGGATTTTTATCAGCAAGATTAATTCTTTCACAAGTATTTTCAGCAGGAGCATTACGATCTTTCATATCAGTACCACCACCACAAACAATAATTTCAGCTTGATAATTATTTCTATAAGATAAAGGAATCAAAGCACCTGTACCAGTAAGAGGATAAGTACGAGGACCACCTGGTATATCAGGTAAATGTTTAACAATTTCTTTTGATGTATAATCCCAAATTTGAGCTTTCTTATTAGCAGCTAAGAATAACCAAGTTTGACCTTTTGGACCAGGTAAAACTATAACAGTAGGATAAAGATTAAATGGGAAAGAATCCTCTAAAAATTGAATTTTTTGACCTTTTTCATGTTCTTTTGGGAAAAATTCAAAAGTTGGATTTTCAATATCTTTTCTATTTATAGCACAAGCTTTTATTGAACCACCAATATTAAATACACGACCATCAGGTAAAGAAGCCATAGTATTATACCATCTAGCAGAATCCAATTCATAAGGAAATTCCAACCAATCACAATTACCATCATCACAACCATCAATCAAACGAACTGATTGAAAACCATTTTTTTCACCAGCAGTATCTTCAGCACCACCAGTTTCCACCATTGTTCCATTGGCCAAATAAGCACCAGCCGAACAAAACGTATTTGTGTGTAAACTCAATATACGATACGTATTTGTGGTCAAATCGTATAATGTCGAATAAGCATACTTTCCATTTGCTATTAAAGCTTCTGGGTTTATACCGGCTATAGAGAAAAAGGAGGAAGGAAAAAATTAAAAATTTAGTAAATAAAAATATACTACAATAATAATACAATAATAATACAAAATATACAATATGTATAATACAATATGTATATTAATATAATATTAATATTAAATTATATAATATAAAATTATATAATAATTTAAAATGTGAAACCATAATTGCAGATCATAATTACCTTTATCAATAATTAAAACTTTTGTTGGTCGAATAAGGGTCATATGCATAGCAGATACACCGGTTCTATTTTGTTATTTAATTATTAGTGATTACTAAATAAGGCATATAGATAAATTTGATAAGTTTCTAAAAAAAAAAAAAAAATTCTTGTACTTACTTTCCAACGAATTCCCATTTACCATCATTAGCATCAGTAGCATTGGAAGCATCTCTTAATATTAGTGGAACAGCATCAATAATAATATTATTAGCAACGAACAAGTACGTTACCAAAACGTTTATGATTAATAATAGATTATTAAACTTCATAATTATTATTTTTATCTTTTTAAAAAGAAGAAAAATAAAAAAGAAAAATAAAAATATAATAAAATCTTAGAAAATAAAAAAAAATCTTAAAATTTATAACGTAAAAAATAAAATATTTAAAAATATAAAAATTTAAAAAATAAAAATGTTCGTTTATGAAAAAAATAATAATTGTAAAAAAATAAAAAATTGGTGTTTTTTTGAAAATTTTTTTAAAGGCGTTTCTCGTTTTGATAATCGTTGATAACTTTTCTTTGACACTTTTTTCTGACAAATTGATGAGACTTTAGAATCGCTCGTATAAAATACGCAAGTTCGTATAGCAAATTTGTAACCAAGGTAAAAAAAATAATTCTAACTTTTTACTTGAATAGCAAAAAAGCTTCGTATATATTTGATTTTTTCTCTTTTTCAAAGGGCTTAAACAAATGTCAAAGAAAAAGTTGGAAAATTAGCGTATGTTACATTGGGTATTTATAAAGTTTTGGATCATAAGAAATAATATAAATAATGATATACATAGACAACAAAAAAATTTATGATTTACACGGAAAAAAATTTCGGGGGAAAATGAGGTAAAACTAATTTTAGATTAATTGTGGCTTAATGTAATATGCATATAAAAAAAAAAAAAATATGTATATATCGGATGAGATCCAGGTAAAATTATAATTGAAACGACAAAAATATAAACAATATGCATGATTTTTCGAGGACCAATTAAAATGCACTCCGTAATGGGGATAAAAATAAATTAATTATTATTCTTTTATTTTTTTATTTTTTTTTTTTAATAAATATGATTTTCCTATTGTATTTTTTTATAATTAAAAACAAAAATTAAACTCATGGATGGATAGCATGCGATTTTTAAAAAAAGAATTGTAATTTCTTGGCAAAAATAGAAAATTTTTTAACCAATAATAATGAATCGACAAAGAATCAAATTTTTTTGAAGTCTCAACCTGAAAATGAACTGATTTTTTTTAATATTTGTACAAAGAGAATAAAATAATATTTTATTACATAGAATTATACAAAAAAGGATTATTTTTAAAAATGAGTGGTGAAAATGAAATTATTAATTAAATTAAAATGTTTATTTTTAAATTTTAACAACGAAAGAAATAAAGGATTATAACTTTAAGGTAAACAACCTTTACTGGAATACAACTCCGAAGAATATTCTTTTGTTATTTTACTATTTTAAGTAATATATTAATGAAGAGAGATTAAATTAATCTCTTTTTTTTTTTTTAAAAAAAAAAAAAACAATATCACGCCACTTAAAAAAAATTAAAACAAACCAACGGAGAAAATTATATTACTATTACCATTTATATTATAATGCAATTTATACAATTATAGATGATGTTCTGTCATTCCTTTGTTTCAATATTGGGGAAGATTAACAAAATTAATCTGAGGATCGTGTTGATGCATAGAGAGTTTCCCCTTTTTACTTGTTTTACAACTTTTACAGCTGCAAAATAATGCTCAGGCCACAATATCATTTACTCGTTGCGAGAAATGATCTAAAAAAAATGATTAGATTTTTAATCATTAAATTTCTAAAGAGAAACTTCTTTTTTATGCCAATAAAGTATAATAAACAACTTTAAAAATAAAAAACATTTGAATATGTATGTTAACTAACAAACTGTTTCAAAGAACTTTCCAAAGATCTGCAGGTACGATTTATTGAGAAGTGGATATTTTACTATTATCGTACTATGACACAAATGACACAATCGACACAATCGGAAAATTGATAATTGATAATATTTTTCTTATTAGAAAATTTTTAATTTCTTTTAATCAAAGAGTGCATCATATCGTTCGATATCTAATAGTTCGCGGAAAAAGCGAATATACTAATACTAGTTGAAGTATTATATTGATACATATTAAAATTAGACTGCATTATAACGATAGTAATATTTTTTAAAATAATTTGATTCCCGGTAATAATTTCGACTATTGTTCGGATATTCGGACGAGATCGACAAAAATCCTAACCACATATATGGTTCAATATATTTTTAATAAAGAATATCATACGTCCTTATAATAAGTTGCTTATATATTTATGATATTAATTAAATATTCGGCGCAGTGTGGCTTTTACGTGCTTGATTGACTTTTTTGTTTCCCTTTTAATGCTAATTTTTTCTCTTCCCAATTAAAATGAAATTACGAAAAGATATAAACTATTAATAGTATTTGAAATTTTTTTTTTTTTTTTCAAGATTTACGCCAATTATAAAAAAATAAATTTTAAAACACGAATGATCTTTCGTTATACATTTTTTTTTTTCTTTTATTCTTAGAACTTTTTAATAACAATAATTTAGAAGTGTGGCAATATGTAAATCCCTATGTTTTTAGTAATTTTGGGGAACATAATTTTCACATTAAACTGTTTTGATATCACAATCATTTTTTACTCCACCCCAAGGAAAAAAATTTTTTTTTTTTNTTTTTTTTTTTTTTTATTCTTAGAACTTTTTAATAACAATAATAAAAATATGATTTTATGTTAATTATTATCAGTTATTATCAGTTATTTATCATTATTAATATTATTAATATTAATTAATTTGATTAAATTACCAAAGAAATTTATTTTATTTTTAAAAAAAAATAAAATAACAAAGCGAAACCTTTTTTTGGTGTACAACTAAAAAACATGAGGTAGGGAGTTATGCACATCATGTTTAACCCATGTGACATTTACCTCAATAATTTTATAATTTTAGTAATTTTGGGGAACATAATTTTCACATTAAACTGTTTTGATATCACAATCATTTTTTACTCCACCCCAAGGAAAAAAATTTTTTTTTTTTTTTTCTGAATTTTTTTTCAATGTAAAAAATTGGATGGATGTTAATCAACGTACGATAATTGCAGTTTTATTTGAAGTATCTCAAATCGTCAGAATAAAAGAATACCGAGAATTGTGAAAATGGTCCAATATTGGGATCGCATAAGATAGACATTATTAATAATTTGCATCATAATTATTTTGTTACACATTATTTTGCGATATTAAATTGCATCATACGATCAAAAACCCCTGACGGCCTGATCACAGGATCACAAGGTGAAATCATCATGAAAGTTATTACCAAAGAGTGAACATTTATGAAAATTAATATGGTTTTTATTTTGAAAAGCAAATCCTTAATCTTTAATCTTTATCAATTTTTCAGGCAGATTATTAATTGAATCGTTATCATATTCATAACATTTTGGCTAACGAGAAAGAAATTAATAATTTCATTATGATTTTGATGTTTTGAATAAATGTGATGTTCATTCTAATTCTTTACTAATTCCTCCATTTAATTTGCCTAATTCTGCTTTTGAAAGAATTATTATATTCTGAAAAATTAAATAAAGATATTTCGAAAGAGAACGTTAATTAATTTAATTAGTAAAGGAAAATAAAAAATCTTATAATGTAGCTCATTAAACAAGTTAATCACAATTTCAAAAGATTGTGGTGTTGAACGGGTGTTGAACAGTTGTTGATCGAATATTGTGAAATATTAGTGTAATTTTGTCGGTATAAAATGAATTTAGGAAAAATTAAATTAATGAAAACCAAATTACCTTTTTTAAGAAAATTCTTTTTTTGAATTTACTAAAAATAGAATTCATATTGATTTGTACGACCATACTGTTAAAATTAAAAAAAATCGTACCATTTTTTCTCGTGACATGCATTAAAGATCATACGAGTTTAAACGTAACAAAAATTTGTAAAGTTAAAATTTGTAAATTATTATAAGTCTAGCGAAAAAATAATGAACATGGTAAAGTTTTGATAGAATATTTTTGTTTTTTATAAAAAAAAAAAAATAAAAAATAAAATTACAAGAAATATAGAAATACAATAAATAATGGAACAAGAAAAATTAATACATGATATTAGTGATCGTAAATCCACGGAAAGTTATGATGACCTTGTCGTCATGGAAATCTCTGATCAGATTAAATTCGAAAAGCAATTATTAAGAAAGATAGATTTTAGATTATTACCTATAATTCTCGCTTCTTTTTTCGTCGCTTGTTTGGATCGAAGTAATATTGGTAACGCTCGACTTGCAGGTATAGAAAAGGATTTAAAAATGAACGATCAACAATTTCAAATTGTTCTCGCAATGTTTTTTGTGGGAGAAGTGACAATGAAAATTCCATCAAATCTTGTAAATATTAATTTTTTTTTTTTTTTTTATTAAAATATTATTTAAAAAATATTCATTATTTTATGTCCTCTTGTTAGTTATTGCATAAATTCACACCATCCGTATGGATCCCATTCATAATGTTTTTATGGTCCATTACAACATGTTGTATGTCTTTCGTTGAAAACTTTGAAGAATTATGCTTTACACGTTTATTTTTAGGGTTAACAGAAGCTGGTTGGTAATTTTTTTTATAAAAAGAATTTTATTAATATAAATTCTACTAATATATATACATAATATATATAGGTATGTTACCAGGAGTAATGTACTTGTTAAGTATGTGGTATAATCCTGAAGATTTGGCAACACGTCTTACAATCTTTTATTGCGGAGGAGCTCTTGCAGGAGCATTTGGGTAATTTTAATAGAACTTTTTTTAACACTTTTAACACTTTTAACACTATATATGGTAATTTTAATTAACATTTTTGTAAAATTTTTCAGTGGATTTATTTCATTTGTAGTTACAGGAAATATGAACGGAATCTTGGGAATGGAAGGATGGAGATGGTTATTACTCATTGAAGGAATATGTTCATTATTTATTTCAATAATCGCTTATTTCTTACTTCCAGATTTTCCATCAAGAGCAAAATTCCTTACAACAAACGAACGAAATTTAATTCTTAATCGATTAGAAACTCCAAATAATGGATCATATGAAAATGATAATAGATCTTCTAAAGAATTTTCAAAAGATGGAATTATACTTGCATTTTCAGATTGGAAAACTTATTATATGATGATAATGAAAACTTTTAGTGGAGTTGTATTAAATTCTATAGCTTTACATTTACCAATATTAATTAATTCAATGATAAATGATACATTAAAAAGTCAAATTTTAACGGTCCCTCCTTATATATTCGCATGTGGATTTTCTTTATTAATGGCTTTACATTCCGATAAAACTAAAGAACGTCCAATTCATCTTTCAATAGCTGCTATTATAAGTTTAATAGGATTTATAATTTTAGGAACTTCTAATGATATCGTTGTATCTTATCTTGCAACATTTTTATGTACATCAGGATTATGGAGTCTTTCCCCAATCTTATTAACTTGGATAACAGATATTTTTGCTTTCCCAAAAGAAAAACGTTTGGTTGCTCAAGCAATGGTTCTTACTCTTTCTAATCTATCAGGTAAAATAAATTTATGTTAATATTTACAATATGTAGTAATGTAGTTATATATAATGGTGTATATATTATAATTTGTAGGTATAATATCATCGAACCTTTATCCAAAAAGTGATGGACCAACCTATTGTAAGTATAAAAAAATTACCGCTTTATTTAAATATAATATGATGTTAATAATTTCATTTTTCATAATTATCATAGTTTTTGGAAACATTTTTAATGCGTCCTTACTTGGATTGGTCATATTACTTGCCATCATAATGCGTTATATACTAAAACGAACAAATTGTTGAAAAAATATGAATAGACAAATAATTTAATAATATAATTTAATAAATAAAGTAAATAAATAATATTTAAGAAGAAAAATTATTTTTTTAAAAATTATAACTTTGGAGAAGGTTTAGAGAAAGAATTATATAAAAGAGGCCATAAAGTGTCTCCAGGATCAATTTTTTCCACAGAAGTATGGAAATGACCTACAACACCTTTTATTTCATTTTCATTTAATAATCTAGTAATAATTTTTCCATCTTTTCCTTTGGGAGGTAATATTCTTGGAATTGTTGGTACAACTTTACATAAAGCTTCAACAACTTGAACAACTCTAGTTTTTTGTAGTTCTGTAAAATCAAGATGTTTATAAGGTACACCTGATCTTGGGTCTCTTGAATAAACTTCTTTACGAGGCCACTTTGGATCTTGTTGATTAATATAAAATTGATTATTAATTTCTATTCCAATTGAATGATCATTAACTCCTTTTGCTTGCCATGCTCTTTTAGTAAAATCGAGAGATTGATAAACTGTTCCATCACGATCAATCATCAAATGAACTGATAGACCTCGTTTAACTAATATGTCAAAACAACCTTTAGAAGAATTAGCAACATCCCAATGTAAAACTATAGTATCAATTTTTGATCCAGTTGGGTCTGTTCGTTCGTCCCAGTGATCCTTGAGAAGAGGAGTATGAAAACTCATTCCTCGTTGTTTATCATTAAAATTAATGGTGGGGAATGGAACCTTATGTTCTTTCCCATTAAAGATGAAAGCATTATTTTGTTCCAGTGGAATTTGAGACATTTTGGCTTAAAAATAAATTCACAAATATTCCAACATTCATTTATATTTATTATGTTACATGATTAGTAATACGTTAATATTACTAGGCGTTAGACTTAAATATCGGAATCTCCGAAGCTACTATTTTAATTATGTAAATTAGTACGTCAAGTCATGTAATATTGTATCCAGTGTCACGAGTTTATGCTATAATTGTTTCATGTATCTTCCTTATTTGTCATATTTCATTGTACCGATTTTTTTCATTATAACGGAGTTATTCCGACTTTTTACTAATTTGAGCCAACATTATAAATTTCATACAACAAACAAAAAATTTACACAAAGCAAAATAGTTTCATAACGGATTATTATAACAGATACTAGCTATAATTATTATGCGCAAAAATGTTGTTAAGGAGAAATAATCCTATACATCTCCATCATTTAGATTAATATTTTGATAAAAGCGGAGTTGAACATATCAGAATATCAGATATATTTTTTTTTTCTTTATAATTTAAATAAATGATCGTATATATAATAAATACAAAGTAAAAAACGGTTTATTAAATTTGTGATATTTCAATTTTGAAAGCTTTTAAAAAATTTTAAAAATTTTTAAGCAGATTTTTGATATGTAAAAGATGATTTTAAAATTATAAAAGAGTGCATTAATTATTAAAAATAATACATATAATACATTAATATTGATATACCAATATTTTCAAAGATTTTCATGAAAATCCCGATGAACTGTTAATCAAGAAAATAGCGAGGGTCAGAAATGACGTAATTTCTGAGAAACCCTAGTAATTAATACATCTAAAACTTTATGACGTCATTCTTGGCATCTCCTAATGGTAAATTCATATTAAATATAAATCAGTGAATATCTAATACTAATCAACTGGCCTAAGCTCTCCTTCCTGTTCCTACCTTGCATTAAAAACATTAAAAAGTAAAGTCTATCACATGTGTAAACAAACAAACATTGTATGATTTTGAACATAATATCCAAGTAACACACATGTGCGAACAGACAACATTGCATGATTTTGTCTGTCGCGTGTAATTATCAATGTATACTACATAATACAAAGGTCCCTGATTACTCCTCCACCCCCTAAAAAATTACATAAAAAAATGTCACTAATTATTAATTTTTTCAATTATAAAGGATATAAATTAAAACATACACGTTTTATAATAGAAAATACCCAATTTTTTCGCATGAAAATTTTTGTATTGTATAATTGTAGATTCTAATAAAAGTATTATCACTTTATCAGGTTTTTTACATTGTAGCATTAGGTCGTTCCAATTTAAAGTACCCCTCACCCCTCTATTTTTCCAAAGTCTGGATTCTATTAAACATATAGTAATAAATATGTTTAAATATCCCTCAAGCTCTTCATAAATTCTGGATAATAAACAAACAATCAAATTGGAGCGACTGTCACAAAAAAAATTAATTAATGCAAAATAACTTATTTTACTATTTATATAACAATAATGACAATTTTTTATTAATCAATTACATTTGATACTGGGAAATTTGCAAACTATTCTTTCTGAGGTAGTAAATCGGCCATATATCTAATTATTGTATGTTATTGTATATGTAATAATAACATACAGTGCTGGCAAAAAGTAATCGGAATTGCAAAAAATGCAATAAATGAGAAACCAGCGATTGAAATTGCTTCAAATTTTACAGAATTGTTGCCAAATGGATTAATGTTAAGTGTATAAAATTTCAGCTTTTTATCACATTTCCTTGTCTCACAATTGATTTTTTTTTCAAAAAAAAAACATTAAAAATTTAAGCGAGGTAAAAATTTAATAAAGATTTTTAATATTATCCTCAATCATTAACAATCAACATATATAATTATAATGAAAAATTATAAACATAAAAATATATCTTTAATTGATTTATTAAAAAAATTTAGTTGTTACTTAATTAGTTAGTTTTTCTATAAATTGACATTAATGTTGACTCAAAAATCATTAAAATAAAATAAATTTTAAATACATTACACTTGTTTAATTGATATTTTTTCAAATATTTTGAATATTATTAAACTAACATTAAAAAGACTTTATTATAATCCTTTATAATTATTATAACTTAGATTTAATTTTTGAATTTTAGTTCTTTTTACTAAAATTAAGGGTTAGGTTAGGTTGCGATCAATATAGTAAAGAAACTTTGATCAATAACTAACAAATAAAAAAGTGTCAAATTTTTTTTAATAAAATTAGCTTTTATGAATTTCAATTTGAATGCTATAATCAGAAATTTTGGATCCTTTATAGGTTAAGTATTTTCCAATTTTTTTTTTTGAATTAAATAATCAATTGTGAGGCAAAGAAATAAGATAAACGGCTGATAATTTATATACATAATAATGACACATTTGGCAAAAAATCTACAAAATTTGAAGCAATTTTAATCATTGGTTTCTCATTTATCGCATTTTTTGCAATTCCGATTACTTTTTGCCAGCACTGTATAATCAAATTTTAAACGTAATAAAAAGATTTTTTATTTACGAGTAAAAGATCAGATAATCGACATTAGTCTACTTCAATTGTCATTTTGATCACAAAAACTAAAAATCAACTAATCAGTTAGTATTTTTGTAAAATGTAGTACCTTAATAGTTTATTATAACATTTTTTTCTTTGCCGATAAAGAAATACATACAAATATTTTTTTGTTCGAGGATAACGTAAATTTAGTTTTCATATGCCGAAATCACGTGCTCATATCAAATCGATTAATAGCAAAATGTATACGGGAAGAACGAGTAAAAAATTAGTCCATGAAATGGAAAATTCTGCTGGGCTATTTCTTCGAAAGGCTACGCCAAGCCCCCTCCTAAGGAGGTAAATGGAGTAGATATATACTTCATGAATCGTTGTTGATCATAAAAATTTCTCGGCAAGATTTTACAGTTTAGTCCGTTCTGTAATTTCAGCCGGGGCCCTGCCAAAAACTCTTGGCTACCCTCCAGGTTTTTCTGAAAGGCACTAAAGCGTAGACGATTGTTACATAATTTCGGTAATGAAGTCCCGCATATATACTGGTGTGCATTACTATTGGTGTAGTCTTATTTTTCTCGAAAGTTGTTGCAGCCAAAATCTTTCGTTAATCGCTGATATAACATGGGAATTAATTTTTCGTATGTTACCAGAGGTATTTGTTACATTATTTGGTCTAGTTCGTTAATATTTTATTTAACGTTAAGGCACAAAAAAAATCATTAAATAATCCCGATGAAAAAATTACATGCGCGTGACGATTTGACGCAGATCACTTTTGCTAAGAAAAATTATATCTCGGAACCAGCTTTATTTATTACACGCATCACAACAGAACAACAGAACAAATTAGAAATTCATGACAAGATGTAAAATAGAAAAATAAAATTTAAATTTTTTTCTGTGGAGGCGATGCATAAACAATAGAATCGTTTACGTGTTGAGTACCACCACGATTAAGTTTCTTTCTAGACTTCAGTGCGGATTCTATATTCTGTTGTAGACTTATGACACGGTTCTGGCCGATACATAAATAAAAAGGATGTTAGTTAACAAATTACAGTGATCTGCGAAATGAATAAGATTTGTTACCTCACCTTAAACGTGATCATTGTTCGTATTATATCAGACAAATTCTTTAATTGCGTAGACGCATTGGGAATCAAAAACTTGTCAGATTGGTCAACTAGATAAACTCCATCAATCCAATGCATGGATACATCCCTCTCTGTAAATGTATAATTTAATATTAGCAAGTACGACAAACGTAATATTGATAAACCATATTATTACTTACTGTACACAAGTTTCTAAATTTTTTAGATTTGGATGGTCTTCAGGAAATAATTGCCGAATCTTGAAGAGAGCCAGTTGCATGGCTGGAAGTTAGATTATATTGTTAGTAGTTTTCATAATGACAAAATAAAAAGCTTTGATTTCACCTTACCTTTAAGGATCTTTTCGCGATCACCGTTCATTTTTACATCATCGTGATAATATGCGTTCCCGACAACTTCCCCAAAAGCTACTTGAATAATGTTATTACGTTGTTAATTACATAGAGGATAATTATTAGAATAATTATAAATTATGATCAGAGGTATTCTTACAAAGTGTATACACTTGTTGAATCCATCTTAACGTCCAATCTCTCGCAAATAAATAATCATTTTCGAACGGGGCTTGACCGATAGCGGACTCAACTTTGTTCAAATCAACGTAACATCCGGTAGTATGTTGTGAAATTACATTTTCATATCTCTTTAAAAGTGATTGGAGGTATTTACAATCTCCTCCTCAATCTAGAACATATAATTCATTGTTAGTAATTGAAATTAAAAGAAATTAAAATCAACAGGAAACATACCTTTCTCCATTTCGATTGCATTAATTCTGTATCTTGCAATTCCCTCTTTAAGTCTGATAAGTCTCTCAATAGTCGGGTTCAAAGTCTGGTGCAATAAAAGATTTGTTATTATGTACAGCAATGAAGTGTAAAAGAACAAATATATCGAACCTCAACAGATAATTCTTGAAGGTAAGAATTTTCCACATCTTTTTCAAGATCTGACAGGTTTGATGGAGCATCTTGAAGAAGTTCATCCGGTGGCACCAAAGTGATGCCGGACAGTTCCTCATCATCCACATTATTAAATGATCGTTGCTCATTTTGAATTTCGCAAATATCGTTATGCGCATGGAAGTAATGTTCAATTTTGGTACGTTTTGTTTTCTGTTTATGATCACTCTAAGTATTAAAATTCAAGACAATAAATTTCTGCTAGCTTACAAGAACAAACGAAAAAAATACTACTACCTCAATTGAATCATCCAAATCTTGAGGAATATCCTATAGCACGAATACAAATTACGGAAAAGTCAAACAACCTTTGTATCAAATAAGATAAAAACAAACAATTTAGGACTTACCGGAGAAGCTTGTATCAGATGGTGGAGATTCCGCTGATTCCAAATCAGCATTAAGATGATATTCAACATCATGCTATTGTTAAAAAAATGTATATAGTTATTGTTATTTAGCATAAGTAGTTTTAATTAACTTACCAGCTGACGAAACATTCTACGGTCATGTTCAGTCTAGTTGAGAAAAGCGTAAGTTATAAGTTGTTCTCCAAACCAAATTCAAAATACGACTGCATGGTAAACTTACACGATCATTAAGCATAGTATTCGTATGTTTAGTCTAATTGAGAGAATGGCAAATGTTACAGATTTTTCCATGAGAAATTTCATACTGACTGACTACCATACTTACAAGAGCGCGAAATTGTCGAGTATAATTTTTCGTATGAATCACTTTCTGTTTTTGAGCTTCTTTGTATATTTTTTTTCGGCATTTTTGAAAACTGAAAGAAATTATGAAATTAATGACAAACATAAAAAGTAAAGCAATTGTCCATAACATTTACCTATCAAAAGCACTTTTGGATTTTTCGGTTCCGGTCATTATAAATTATAACTTACTAGAGAACAGGAAAAGAAATATATGACCCTTTTAAGGCTTATAATAGGTGTGGTCAATCCGGTAATGATTGGATAATTTCGCGACGCGAACAATCCGATTTTTGTAGATCGGTTTGACTGACCGCTGATCGCATCAACAACCAATAAAACCAATAATCCAAGAGCGATCAATCTATAATTGAACGGGGTTAGTGATTCAGTGTTCGTGCAAAAATTTTATGTCTGATCAATGAAGTCAAGAAACTTGCATCGTCGCTATGGTCTATGCTTCCATCAGAACTCGTGTTATGATGCTTGAATTGAAAGACTGGGTTAAGTCCCTAACCACTCCCCAAGTGATAATTTACAGGGGTGAGGGTTTCTTGACATCAAATTCGCTAAGAATCCAAAGGATTAAGATTCGCAGATTATAGCATCGTTTTAAGGTATGTATTTATACATGCGAAATCGATCAGTTTTATTAATACAAAAATACAGAATCAAACAATTAACGAAATGTATGATGCTATCAAAGAGGGAGGATCCTAGGCCATTTAATGCGAGTCCCAGCATCAAGTTATTCCTTTGCTCTCTCACATTTACGAAAAACATCTACTACACTAGATTTCCGAAATAAATTATCCCGCCCATATCTATAGAAGTTTTGTCTATCTATAATATCTCTTACACCCGTGCAGATTAAATAAAATAACAAAAACCTTCTCCGGGATTGAGTAATTTCGAACCTACAGAATAATTACGGAAGTATTAGCAACTGAGGTAAAAAAATAATACAATAACGATTTACACTTACCATCACGATTCATTTCCATTCCGCCTCATACACAAGATATTTATTGCTTAATTTTTCTGCGTTATCGCCGGCGCAAAGTTTAGGAATTTGGCACGTGAAGATGCTTAATTTTTTGATAGACTTTTGCTGTGCCGTTGCGTCTATTGTTCGCGTGATGATGGTCAGTGCGACAACCTAACATTTCGTCAACATGGATCCAAATAAAAAAAATCACATTCGCGTTCACGCCGATCACTTTTGATAAGAAATTTCCGAGACATTATGTCCCGGAAAAATGCCAAGAAAAATTCCCCCTTAAAAAATATATTTTTCGGGAGGGTAGTCTATGAAGACGAGGCGGAGAGAGTCCTTAGTCATATTATATGGCTATGTGAGAGATTGCAGGAAAATCGAATTAGGATCCAGACTTTGTTAAAATATAGTTAACAATCGGCAAAAACAAACATGTTTAGAGTAGAATCTTCATCATCATCAGTCTCAGATTCATTATCATCAGTTTTCAGAGAAGACCCAATATTTATCTTGATTCTTCATACGCGACATTAAAACTAGAATTGATTAGTAAGTTTCGTTCCATGATGAAATTCCAGTAATTAAATAATAATAAGAGATTACCTTGTAATGGTGATTAATGGTAAGATTACCTTGTAAGAATGTAGCGCTTTTTTATAAATGTCCAGAAGAGTTAAGTGAATCCTTAGATATTGAGCTTTGAACTCCCAAGAAAATAAACTACTATTGACAGTCATGCAATTTCAAATTATATATATAACTTATATGCAAATTAATAAAGTTTTTTATTTGGTTTATACAGTATTATATTAAAATTTTGTTACAATTAAAGAAATTTAAAAGAATTTGTAGCAAAGTGCAGAAAAAGATTTTAGAAAGTAGCGCAAATCATAGAGTATAAAAGATAAATTGAAAGAGCACTAGGAAGAAGAAGAAAGAGATGAACTCATTTCTTTGATTTATCGAAAGAAGCTCTAAGATAGCCTAAGGTTTCAAAGGCTTTGTGAAGGTCACTTCCGATCCTATCAAGTTTCTAGATTGGATGAAATATTTAACATTAGTAATTGTGTACTTATATTAAAGAATGATCATTAAGTAATTTTATCATAGCTCACATTATCAAACTTTGTCGATTTTCGCTTCGAGCTTTGATTCAACATTAGTTACCTTTGATTCAACATTGTCAATTTTCGCTTCGATAGGCTTCATCGTTTTTTTAACTTCATATTGGATATAGAGCGCGCCAGTACCAGCCGGGCCTAGAGTGCCAATAATTGAACCGATATTTGTGGAACTTTACGTAGATTCTGAACCAACATTTTTTGAAGTAAGGTTTTTTACTGCTTCGGCCGTGCCTTTATTTTGGTTTAATTATACATAAAAAGATCAGCACGTCATAAATTTTATTTTTAACTATACTACTTACTTTCAAATCTTTTCTGAAAAATTCTTTGTGCGTAACGACTCAACATTTTGGACAATATAAATTTAGTTTTAAATGTAAAATGTAAGAAAAAATATAAGATATATATACCTTTTTATATCTAAATACATATTAATTTTTCAATGCGATAATCAATTTTGTGATTTGATTGACCAATCAGTGGCCTTTATGATCACAAGCTTTGTCATACTCAGCCGTAGTATTATTTCTCCGTCGTTTCGGCTGGTGAAGAAAACGATTTTGAGGCTTGCAAACTAATCATTTTTTCGTACAGATCTTATTAGAATTACAATGTATACAAATAAAAGGTCGGTAAGGTTAATGTTGTTCATTTACTCTGACACTCTGACACTACATGTCTTATAAGTATAATTGATGACCATTTATTTTAATCAGAATATGTTGGGGACAAATGAAATCAGATTAGAGTTAATGTTGAGATGTGTTAGTATATAGATAGCTTACATGAACGAAACACAGGTTGTGTGGTCTGTAAGCATTAGTATATAAACGCTGTTTCACTTTGTAAACAAGTCTATGTAATCATCGAATAATGTAATTTATTTTTTTACATCAATAAATCGGTAATTCCGATCATGACATTTTGTCACAGTTTATTTTTATCTATACTAACTATGCTAATGAACTTTTGAATTATTCCATCTTATATAAAAGTTATTGTCAAATATGCAATCCATTGATTCATTGAGAGAATTAAATGCCAAGTTCTTAACTGAGATTGCCGAGCTTAGGAAGGAGAATGCTGAGATTCCCGAACTTAGAGAAAAGTTTCTAAAATTTGCTGAGGTTGAGGCTGAGAATGCGAGGTTGAAGCAAATTATTGAAGAGAATGCAAGGCGTGATGCTGAGAATGCTGAACTCAAGTCTAGAGTCGTAGAGCTTGAGGCTAGACTTGCATTATTAGAACAGAGTTCAGCAGTGGAAGGGATGGCGTTGCCACTTGGCCAGACACAAAACGGTGAAGAAGCGATGCCAGTGGTGACGGTACCAACTGTTGATGTACCCGATTCTGTAATAGACCAACTAGGGTTGCAGACATATCTTTCTTAAGGGTAACTACCTTACAGCATAATATAGGTCGTATAAGATAGTATGTCGTACACGTATAATAAGAAGTTAAGAACTCTTTCTTGACGTATGACAAATATCTGACGTATGACATATCATATGATGTACTGTACTTGTATCACGTCACGAAATTAAATTAACACAAGTAAAATGTAATGGGTTTCGCGACTTTTTTTTATTCTTTTACTTCTGAATTATGAATTGTGGAGAAAGCAGTTCAGGAAAGGGTAAAAGACCAGTTATTAATGAAAATGAAGAACTTATAGTTTCTTCGGGTGAAGAAAACACAACACCAAACATCAAGTTTAAGAGGTTTTAAAATTGATTAAATAAAAATACAAACAAACCTTAAAAAAATTTTCTTAAAAAATTATCAATAACAAAAAAATAAAATTGTCAAAGACTTCAAAAAATACAAAGCCCTTCTCAGAAATCTGGGAATATTATGAAAAAGGTGTATAAAAGAATAATGGACATTATGAAGCTATTTGTTTCTATTGTAAAACCAAAAGGTCAAGGGGAAAGCCACAAAAAATGGAAGTGCACCTGGCAAATGAATGTATACAATGTCCTGAAGAGATATCAAGATATTGGCATGAAAATGTAGCTAACTGACAAACAATCTATTCTCGTAATAACCAAAAATTACTTTCTTCACAACCACCTTATTCAACTCAAACACAAATAACTGATCATTATAAGTCTGATTAGTCTTTACCCAAATTTGTTGTTGACTGACTTGATAAAAAGATTTTAAAGGTTTGGGTCATGGCTGGTATTCCATTTAATGTAATTGAAAACCCATTTGTTTTAGATCTCTTTAAAGATCTAAATCCTGGTTATTCCCCACCATCACGAACTACTCTTTCTAACCATCTTATTACAGAAGAATATACACGAGTGAGTTTGGCTATTGATCATGATTTGGAACAATCTGATAATCTTACTTTAAGTAAATATAAATTAATTAATTATTACATGTGCAACTTGTTGATTTAAAAAAATTTAAATGTTAATAATCTCTCCTAAAATTTGATACTAATATTTATTTTAAATTCTATTTCTGATAGCGTTAGATGGTTGGACTACTCCAAAAATGGAATCAATTTATAATTACATAGTCATGACTGATACTTGAATGGAATATTTGATTGGTTTATATGATTATTTGTCAGATTCACATACAAATGAATTTTTAATAAAAGAAATTTCTAGTATTATTGAAAAACTTGGCAGTGATAAGTTTACCACAATTGTTACTGATAATACTTCTAATTGCCAAATTGCAAGACAAAATATTCACCAAATGTATCCACATATATGGAATATACGTTAGTGCTTCAATCCAGATGAAAACTTGAATATTTTCATGTGATGATTATGGCTGAGAAAGATTATGAATTTCAGATTTAAACAGACTATAATTTAAACCAACATTAAAGTATTATTATTCCAAAAATTTATACTAATTATGGCCAAACTCATAATGCCAGCGAAATTTAATGAAATTCAATCCAGATGAAAATCTGGATAAAATCGCTACAGATTGAAGCACTAATATACGTTGTATAGCTCATGCAATCAATTTGATTGTATCTGACTTGGTTAAACTCGAACCTATTAAAAAATTTATTAATGAATGTGGTAAAATTAATCAATATTTTAGTACATCATATACTAGTAATATTCTTTTAAAACAAGATTTTACCAATATGATAATCAAAGGAGACGGATTACAAACTTGGATGAAAACATGTTGGGGTCTTTATTTATGACAATGGATGCTTTATTAAGAGCTCAGCCAGTGTTTAATTAGGTAAGTAAAATGTTTATTAATAATAATGAAAATTAAAAATATTAAAAAATATTTTACTAAATTTTTAAATTTTCAATTTTTCAGATTCTTAGAGAGCATGCTAATTCTATTACAAATAATGAAGTTGCCGTTTTAATGGAGGATGAATCTTTTTTTCCATATGTCGATCAGTTTGTTCTATATGGAAGCCAATAAAAGAATGTATAAATCTTTTAGAAGTAAATGAAACTACTTTATTTAATTACTTCATCCATCTTATTAAATTGGCCAATGCAATACACCAATTACTACATTAGGAAATTTGTTTAGGTGTAATTTAGTGTAAGATTTGTAAAATTTTGAAATATTACACTAAAAACATAATATTACAAAAGTTTACGCTCTTAAATTTGAATAATTATAGTAATTTAAGAATATCTCGCTATCTACTGATCCAATCAAGATGATCTATAGCTCATTGGAATCAGCTCATCAAGATGAATCAAATGGTAGTAAAATCGTATCTTTATGTTTAATAGATGACTTTCTATTAATTTAAAACTTTATTGCATACTATAGAGTATTCTATCAAATGCGATTTTACTACCATTTGATTCGTCTTGATGAGCTGATTCCAATGGGCTATAGATCGTCTTGATTGGATTAGTAGATAGCAAAATATTCTTAAATTACTATAATTATTCAAATTTAAAAGTGTAAACTTTTGTAATATTACGTTTTTAGTGTAATATTTCAAAATTTTACACCACTTCTGAAATATTACACTAAATTATGCCTAAACAAATTTCCTGATGTAAGTACCATGCCTTCAAATCTTTTTCTGTTAACATTTTTAATTATTGATTTGAAGAATTTTTACATTCTCTTTATATTTTGGCTTATTATCTTCATCCATATTATCGAGGTTTTATAAATGTTATGATTTGTAAAGTCTCAAATAATATAATTAATAAAGTTTTTTGTTTAATCAATATCAACAGGTAAAGGTTTAAAAAATGAAACTTTTCATAAAGCTACCTTAACTGCAATTGAAATGTAGCAAAGTCTTGGTCATACTTACAAGGAAAGTGAAGAATTAATTACTCAACTTTGTAGGTTTGAATTAAAGCTTACTTCTTTTATTTGATCTTCCTTATATTTCTAGACTTGAATTTTCAAACGTATGGTAAAAATTAATTAAAATACAGTCACAACATTTGTCTGATGAATTTGCCTGTCAATTTTTTCTATTAATCCAACTTAAGCAAATTATGAAAGAAATTTCTCAACTTTTAATTGGATTTTGGGTGATAGATGAACCAATTTAACTTTAAAAAAACTTGAAGTTATGATAGCAAAAATTCAGTCTTACTACATGAATAATATCCAAAAAGAATTAAATTATATGAGTAATGATCTTACTGAAAGTGAGTTAAGAAAAAGTACTAATATTACTTCAGTTAATAGCATTATTAGTTTAAAGGAAAACAATAATACTGTGAACTTTGATGGAGATAATAATTTAAATCAAATTTCACCATCAGAAAATTTTTCAAATACTGAATTTGCTATTAGTAATATTGTTGATTTTGACAGCTGTTGATAATAATCATGATACTAATAGAGAAATAGGTCTTGATATTACTCCAATACAAGAACAACCTTTAGATCTAGCTAATTTGAATTATGATCCTAATAATGTAGAGGTGTGCTCTGGTAAAATCTGTTCAATCCGTTATCCAATCTGATCAAAAAACGGATTATTCGGATTAAGAATAAACAGATTGCAAATAATCTGGATGGATCTGTTGGATGACATCAAATTGATCAGATGTTACATAGATGACCAGATTGACCGGATTGATCAGATAATCTGAATCAATCTGGTCAAATTTATACTATTTTTTCATTATTTTTTTTTTTTCTAAAAAAAAAATACTTTGAACTTGGACTTAGACTTCAGAACGACTTGAATGGCTTGGATTTCAAAAGGTAAGCGTAAATTTCTTTTTTCTTTTGTCTTGGGAACGTTATTAACGTTCCTTTTGCTTCTTTTCTTTAGGGGACGCCTTCCTGAACCCAGTTTTCGGCTTAGGCTATGAAGGTAAGTTAATAATAGAGGTTTTCATTTTTTTTTTTTGTCATTAAGAACGTAACTAACGTTCCTTTTGCTTCTTTTCTTTAGAGGGATGCCTTCCTAAACTTGTTTCTCGGCTTGAATTATAAAGGTAAGTTGGAGGAAGAGTTTTTTTATTTTTTCTTGTCTTTAGGAACGTAATTAACGTTCCTTTTGCTTCTTTTTTTAGGGAGACACCTTCTTGAACCTGAATTTCAGCATGGGTTATAAAGGTAAGTTGGAAGAAGAGTATTTTTGGTTTTTTCTTGTCTTTAGGAACGTAATTAACGTTTCTTTTGTTTCTTTTTTTAGGGGGACGCCTTCCTGAACCTGAATTTCAGTTGGGATATAAAGATAAGTCAGGAAGGGAATTTTTTTGTTTTTTAGTCTTTGGATAGTCTTTAATGTTCTCTTCTTTTTTTTTCTTTAGGGGTCTTCAAACTGGTTTGATCCAAATCTTAAACTTTTTATAAATATTGTGTCAAATAATTTGTTAAAAATCATTTGTAATAATGTAAAAATAAATACTATGTTTATTATTAAAAAATTTCTAATTGTCAATTAATATTAATAAAAAGTATTAAGTAGAAAAAATTGAATTCGGATTCATCGGATTCACTGGATTGACCAGATTATTCAGATATCTGGTCAATCATCCAGTCAAATTGGTGAGCAAGTATTGACCAGATATCTGATGATCCATCCAGTCAATCTCTGATGAATCATCCAGATCAATCCGAATCTGGTCAAATTTTGGATGGATGACCGGATATCTGGATTGACCAGATTCAGAGCATACCTCTACATCAAGGGCACCATGTTTTGTTATTCTTTACACAATTAAGGTATACTTTTCCGCTAATTAATTACGTCGTATTTCAGCGAACGGACCAATTCACTATTTATTATAAAATTACTATGAATTAATTACGTCTGTCAAAATACATTACGTCTGTCAAAATAAATTTAATTAGTATTTTGTCATTTTGACGAAAAGTATAAATTAAGGTTTGCAAACTATACATGATCTTTAGCACATTTCCAAAACATTAAATCATTTTTGTTTTATCTATTTTTTTTTTTTTGGTGACTTCTTTGAGAAGCTGATTTTTAACTTCATTATAAAGATACTACCAGAAATATTTACATTTTATTATTATATTATTACATTATTTGTCTTAACATACTTAAAAATGCTTTTTCTATTTACATATATAAAAGCCTTATTAGGAATTCTAAAAAAAAACTATAAAAGCGAGAAACAAAATGACTTTGCTGATGTAGATGCAGATAAAAGATAAAATTAGTGATAGTTGTAATAAAATCTCTTGAGTAATCTTACATTACAAGACTAATCTGAATTACTTGTAATAAAAAAGAATTTAAAATACTTTTTTGACTCATCAGTCAAAGTCTCAAAGAATATATTTACATCATAGTTAAACCGCCTGTATTAACTGCTAAGGTATTAGAATTAAGAGAAAAATTCACTTCATTGCAGGCATAATTTAACAAATTCGTTTATGGTATGTATAAAGTTTTGCCAAAAAAAATTTGGCTGATAAGCCATCAGTGAAATCTTTAGATCATGAGTAATCATATTTTATGTTAAATTACTTACTATCTTAATTTAATTGTTGAATTACAGAGTTCGATGCCATTGTTAGTCTAAATTAGAGAAAAAGTTTCAAGTGGATTATAAATATTGAACATGCAACTCTTGAAATACCAGCACTTAAAAATGACAGAATAATATACTAAATATATTAAATAATAGTTAAAAATACTTCCTAAAAATAATAAAGACCATAAAGACCTTATTCGCAACTATAGGATTAAAAATTGTCTAAAATATCAAGTGCCTTTTGTTTATAAACCAGTGCAAATAAAAAATCACCTGTTATAAAGTTTAACTTCAAGAATAGATACAAAACACGTCATCACAAAATGTGATTATAAATTCAACTGAACAATAACAAATATACTTACTGAAAGGTAAGAGTATGAAAAAAGTTGAAGTGTTCGTAATGTCAACAATATGATATTGCATTATATAAAATGTGTAGCTTAACACTAACTTAATTTTTAGGTCATTTGAAATAAACTTTTGGAACTTATTGAATTTAAGGTAAGCAAAACGCCTAAGAGGTCTCCTGCCGAAAGCTCTTTTTTTTATTTTTAACTCTTTTAAAGAAAACCTATTCCTGTAAGTTCAATTTATTTGTCACTTTAATATTATTAAAATAAATTCAGGAAAATGAATTTGTCGTACCTTGACTTACTATCACTTTAAAAAACATACTATTTAAATAAAAGCTTGAATTTTAAGAATCTTTGAAAGTTTGTTGTGATGTTATGTCACACCTGTCACGTAATGACGCGCTTCGCATTAAATAGATAAAATAAACATAACAAAAAGCATGCACCTTGTCAATCATTACTAATAAATTTTTATACGAATTAGTAAATATAAAAGCATGACGAATTTCAATTTCTCATACGTTACACATACACATATGTTACCTGAATGATAATCTAAAACGGTTAGCCGATCTCGATTCGGAATATTTAAAAAGTAAATGAAAATTTTTAACACTTTTAAAAATTTCTTTTTTTAAAAATTGAGGCTTATAAATCCTTAGTTAGGAAAAACAAATCATTTATTCATAAATAAGACAAAAATGTAAATTTATACAATTACATGTAAAAATCTTAATTGTGAAAAAAAATTAAAAAAAATCGAATAATATCAACGAAATAAACTAACGATTGAATTTAACGACCGAAAGAATTTGAAGTGGTTTTTGGTGGGGGAACGCCATTTATAATTTCATTAGAGTCTCTATAACCGTTATAATCGATATATTCATCAAACCAATCTTCTTCGGTAAGGTTTGAAACATTTTGAGGATTATTCATGACGAGAGGTTGATTTTCCTTTTTAATTGGTATTGGAGTTTCGACGATGAAGGAAAACTTGTCACCTAATTCGAAAGTTTTATTTGTATATTTATTTTTTCTCAAAACTGCTTCGTTCTTAACTTCATCTTCCTTTGCAAGATGATAATATTTTCTTTTTTCGGTATCTGATAATTTAGACCAGTCATCACCAGCTTCTTTTGAAAGTTGTTTCATTTCAACTTTCTGGTCCGGATCTTTTTTATCTGCTCGAAAACGCATAAATGCGTTCGCAGTTTTGGTTTTGCTCATGATCTAATGACCGAAAATAAATTTATTATTTCGAAAACGTTTTATATTTTTCTCGACGGGTAGAAAAATAGGATTAAATACTGAATAGTATTTTTTAACGAAATTTGAATCTATTGAAGGCAAAGCGCGAAATCAAAGGATATTTATATTTATTCATTCATTTATTATTGTTGTTGTTATTTCTCGGACTTTTTTATTATTATTTTTTTTTAAAAAAAAATTAGATTTAAGTTTCATTAATTTCGTGCCACTAACGGAGACACGGAGTTGGAAATTTAGTTGATCATTTCCTAATCTTTTTTTAATACGAATATGGTTAAATTGATTAATTTATTCTCTTCAAAATCAGTTATTAATGATTGATATCAAATAATAAGTAATACATTCTTTGTAAGCTTACCTCTTTAGATATTATTCTTGTATGGCTCATTTCAAACCATCCATTTTCCATTACTTTGAAAAAAGAATAAAAAAGAAATAAGAGTCGGAATTGATATTTTACAATAAATCCGATGTTTCAAATTTTGCATCATGTGAATGATGTGAATGGACAACAACTGATGTATTATTCCAAATAAAGTAAAGTATCATAATTTATATATGGATATTTAGCATAAAATAAACTTTAAATTTCAAATTTTTTATTAATCGTATAACCTCCTTACCCTTTGATTAGATAGCATTTATTATCTTTATTACTATAAACTGCAAAATCCGGCGTTACAAGCAATGTTACGCGTAATGGACTGCATAACTAGAAAGAATTCAGGAGAATAACTTAAAAAAGTAAAAGAAAAATAATAAATGAAATTGAAAGCAACAATCGATTGATCCTTTTGTATTGTCTTGAATAAATGGTATAACAAAAGGAATTGAAGAACATGTTAAACAAGATGTTTTATTCATTATGTATCACCAAAATCTTATGAAATTTAATAAAATACGAACATTTCTAAATAATAAGATAAAAATTCAAAGTTTTAATTCACTGAAAGGCTGAATACGATTCCTTTTGGACATAGCCGAATCATGAATATTCGATTCGGCTTTACCAATGACAGAATTGTAGATAATATTTATTAAAAGTCATTCCAAATTTATTTAACCTTAAAAAACCATTCACCCAGGGGTGCTAAATAGTATATAGTATTTGCAACATATTACAAACAATAATATTACACAATTTAATTTTGATCTCTAGTCTAAGTCATCAATAATCAAAGCTTTCCATTTAATTTATCGTGTCACTTGTTCTCTTGTTTTATAATTTAATTCTTTTATCTTGCTTTTAAGGAGACTTTTTCCATATAACTAATATATGTTGAGGTAAATTTACCAATGAATACATTTTAAATCAACAAAAATTTATCTTATCAACATTCTTTATATAATTATGAATTAAGAAAATTTGACATTATGTTAGAATACTATAATACACGAACCCTTAAAAACCTTGACTAAATGCCTTCCTTACATATTCATCAAAACTATATTCAAATTGTTTAAAAAAAGTTCAGATTGGAAGTGTAGAAAATCACGATATCTTATCAACCAGAAATGAATTAAGTATGAATTGATTTCAAATTCTTTTAATTTCATGATAAATGTTATAAGTGTATACTTTCTATGTATTAAAAAAAGAACAATAAAAGTTATCAAAAATAAATGGATTCTGAACTCTTCAGTAGGATTTAATGAGGTAATTTCTTTCTTATTATTAAATATTTCAAAAATAGTAGTATTAACCTTAATATATAAATTTTTTATGTTATGCTTTGATTTATGTTATATTCTCAGCTTAGCAATTGATTGGAAAAGAAATTTCAGACTGAAATTGTAGAAAATCACATATCTTACCATCTAAAAGTAAATCAAATACGATTTTGGATGAATTGATTTCAAGAACATCTAAAATTTCTTAATTTTTCTAAACAAGTTTAGAATAGTTTCATAATAAATGTAATTAGTAAGTGTTCACTTTTATTTCTATTAAAAAAAATCTATAAAATTTGGTCAAATAATAAATGAATTCTGATCTCTTTTTATATAGGTTTTATATAGTATTTTATTGGTAGAACTTATATTATGCACATGAAGGTTTGTTAATTAAAATTGAAATTTGATCTGTAAATACAAGATTGAGATTTATTACAGTAAAGAATTAGACAATTTAAACTTATGAATACAACTCATTAATAGAGAATATTCTGGCAATCGAAATTAGCTGCTTACTACTAGCAACCTAAAGCAATCTAAACAATTTGTTTCTTTATATCTTATTATAGACAAGTAATAATATGTATGAAGTATAAAACAATAATGTTGGTGGCCATCCACGCATAACAGTATGGTTTTTTCTTTTGAAATTTATTGAATTAAAAAGAATTTCTAATTCAAAGAAAATTTCTCAAAACAATTAAATTTTCGATAGCCGTTTTCGTAATTGATCGTCAAAAGAAAATTTACCAAATTTACTAGAATTGCATGCAGCTGAGATTACGGTATGCTGCTGAACAAAAACATGAATAAGCTATTTAAGAATTATGAAATGGTATTATATCTAATTTTATTTAATTTTTTTGTTTCAAAAAAAGTCAGTAATTTTAATCATATGAATTTGGAAGACTAAATAGGTTTATGAAAAACAATGTAATTATATGTTTTATTCCTTTTTTAATTTGATTAATTGTTTTTCTTCTTCTTTTAAAGACGTGAAGGAAGGAAAGAAAAATAACGTTTATAAGTATAACGATAGTTTATCCGATTCCATTCCAACTTTGACCCAATTCCGAAAATAATATTATTGAGCGAACCGATTTGAGTCGGTTCATACATGCTTTTATGTACTTTTTTTTTAAGAGATAGTGTATTATGAATATATATTGGCCGATCTAAGAGAATACTGCAAGCTGCATGACATTTACAAGAGAAATATATATAGTAATTGAAGGGTTGAGCCTATTTATCCATTTTCCGATTTTTAACAGATAATAGGTAATAATTTAGGATTTGTCAAAGCTTTAATATTTCTTAAATGGCTAAAGAAAGCCATTAAGTCAGACTTCATATTTACTGACTTTTTTATTGTCGTACCAGAATCAATAAACCAACAAATTTCCTTTTTTACCATACGACGGAAAATCTAGAATTCCTTTTCGTACCAAAATGGAATAATGGGTGTGTTCAAATTAATATGCCATCAATATTTTATCTATTTTATTTCGTTAAATTTTTAAACGATAAGAAATTAAATATGTATTAAAAAGGATTTTCATACCTTTTTATTCATTATTATAAAATTAATAAATTCTATATTTTACGATATCTAATACAAAGATCGTCTAAGGTCTAACACTGGTTTAAATTGTACCCTAGTGAGATATCGGGTAAATTTTATATGATTTTAGCAGAATTAAATGGGTACTGCAAATGCAAAGTACAGTATATTAAGTTCTATTATTATATAAAATATATTATTAATAAAAGTTTACCCTAAGTCTAATAAAAATTTCTCTTTATTTATTCCGTCAACTAAATATATTTGATCAAAATCAAAAATTTAAACGCACCTGCGTTTGAACGCATCCCCACGGTATAAGTCAAAAATGAAGTTTTAAACCCTTTTTTCCATAATAAGTAAAGTTGTGGAGGCAAAAATACACATATAGCGTGAGGTTTCAAGGTTTATTTATAAGTGTATAAGGTATAAACTGTGTTTATTCAAAAAAAATCAAAACTTCTGATAAATTAATATTTTAATTGTATTCCAATATCTAGACTACTTTTTTTAATTTATTACACCATTATCAGATAAAATCCTTACCCACTTTAATTTTTTTCAAACGAATTAAAGATAGTTTCAAAGCATGATGCTGTAAAAAATGCACCAGGAATTCTCTAGTATCACGTGATAAATGAACAGCATTTTTATTATACAGCATAAAAATTTTTATTTTTAGTAAATTGCTAATAAAATACTGGCTGGCATTACATCATAATTTCACCATTGGTGACATCACCACAGTGATGTTTAGCAATACCACTAGCAATACCCTTATTTTTAACCTTCCACAAAAAAGAGTATATTTGCAACTTTAGTTATATTTAATTTAATGCATATATTATATTAATATAACTGAATTATAGGAATATAAGATCACCTACTTTACATAAAATATTAGATTTGTATTAATATTTAGTAAAGTATCTACCTAGCATTATTAAGCAATTTTAAAGAAAAATTAAATACTGTAGTTAAGTCTTAGGATAATAATTTTATTATGTATTATAATGCAAAATAAGTTTTCATTAGTTTATTAATATTTGCCACAACTTGTTATATTAAAATCTTTTCATTAAATTTTCTAAGATTTTTGTTATTATTACATTTGGTTTAAATCCTATTGGTTGAAGTTATTGCTGCATTTTCCTATTGAGCTAAGCAGGTTATACTGTGCTATATTTGTTATTAATCAGTTAAATATTTATTTATTATTAAAAGCATAGTAAAAACCTTTAATCTCTTATATTCAAGAATCTTCTCATTCAAAAACCTTTTGTTGTACATATATATTAGGTAATTAGTAATATATCATTTTATATAATAAAAATACATTAAAGGCTGTTTATATATACGTGAATATTATGCTTTATTGCTTTTTTGCTTATTATATTTTAAAATTAAGAAAATTAAAATTAAGAAAATATATACTGTAGCTATAATTATATTATTGTAAATAATTAAAATAATTACTCTTTGAATAAATCACCTGTCCTAATATAAATCAATTCCTAAATCCTAATGCATTTTTTTAAAATGCTTTATGAATTTATATTTGTTGTTAAAAGTATTATTACATAAAGGACAATTGATATTTAGAGGTACTGGAGATACCAAAGGTGGTGGTACCTGATTAATAAATTTATAAATATATAAATAATAGAATTTATAGCATAAAAATAAAGAAATAAGAAATAGTAACATACTTGATCAATAATTTAATTAATGAAAAACATATCCAACTCAAAACCTGGCAAAATATTTTCACCACTAATATTACCCCACTGAAGATTACTACAGTTTCTACTCTTCCTGTATACATAAATTCGCTTATTTTGTGGATCTATTAACTAACCAAATTGAACTGATGTACTAAATGTTATAAATTCTTCTTTAAATTTCCTGTCTACTTCCCTGAATTTTGAATTATATATATTTTCTTCAATATCACTTATTTCAACAAGAAATATAGGAATAAAAGGAGCACCTTGAAAGGACCAACACTGTTCATCAGTTAATCGAAGAAATGTATTTTATGGTACAAAATAAAGTAACATCTGTACTCTAATAACTGTATTATGATTAACAGTAAAATCAAATCCACCCTGTGATGTAGTGATTACACCACCTTGTGCAGTTTGTATATTCCAATTACAAAGTTAAGCAGCAATTTCTGCAACTATTGCTTCTCTTATACATGGTATGCGTGTTTTTGTTATAAGTACTAATTTTCCATTTTCATCAAGCTCAAAAAAATTAACAGAATATCTGTTGATTTCCAAAGTAAAGTTTTTCAACTGGCTATTAATATACTCGAACTTTTCAAGAGTATATGAACGTTCAAGGTTTAAATTATCAAGATCTATTTCTTGATTACAAACTTTAGATGTTTTGGTCATGTTTTGTAAATGAAATTTGAAAATAAAAAGAATAAAACTGAAAATTTTTAATTTCTCATATAGAGTAACTTTTATTGATTAATTAATTGATTGATTTATTAATAAGACTGATCAAATTGTCTGACTATCTATACTGAAAATAGATCAAGAATATCTTATTTTTAATAAACTTACTTTTTGAAGATTTTACTACTTTTTAATTTCTCTTGAATTCAAAAAAAAGTAACAGAAGACTAACAGAAGTTAAAATTTATCAAGAAAAAGAAGAAAAAAAATATATATAAATTTTTTTCTTTCACACTCAAATGATTGGATCATTTCAATTAAATTTCACATAATTTGTATTAGCTAATTATTAATGAAACTTTCAGGAAAAAATAATATAAGTAAATACTATCAGTAAAAATGGATTAATAGATAAGAATTATATTTTATAATACTGTATATAAAAAAGTATTTAACTTTATAGTCTCTAAATTTATTCATTTTTATACCATTTATTAGATATTCTGTAATTACTATAAATTTTATTATAAACTCAAGCTATAGAAAGTAAAAATTTCTAGCAATTATACTGATTTTTTAAGCAATTTTTCACTTTAAGGTAACAATAACCCTATAAAAAATATGTATACGGTTTTTATACTGTATATACGTATTTTTGATACAGTTCGCATTTTTACATACGGCATATCAGTATAATGTATACTGTTAGCAAAATGTGTTTAGTAAAAAATACAATAAAGTATACGGTAAACATACTGTGTGATACGGTATATTAAATTCATACGTCTATAACGTATATCATTTCTACTGTATATCAGTATTTTGTATACGATTCGCAAAAATATTGTAAATGAAAAATATGGTATACGTAAGGTTGCCTGCCGAAACTAAAAAGGAAATTCCAAAAGGTTTTGGCCAATCAAATCAAATGCCGAAAATGCCGAAATTAGGCCGAAACTCGGTCTTAATTTTGGCCAAAATTAAAATTCGGCCGAAATTATGACATAGTGTCACGTGACGTTACACAAATTTCCAAAAAAGGAAATTTTGTTTCCCAGTAAAATCGGAGAAATGTGTCACACAAATGTTACACAAAATTCCATAAAAGGAAATTTACGTATCAATCATTATTCCGGCCAGAATTATAGTATTAATGTTGGCCAATAATTTCGGCCAAATTTCGGCCTTTCGGTAAAAGTTTCGGCATTGTATAATTTCGGCAAATTTACTTTTAATTGCCTAAACTTTCGGTTTTAAAAAAGTTTCGGCCTTGGCCTAAACTACTTGATTTCGGCAAGCAACCTTAGGTATACATATTATTCTACAGTATATTAAAATTCATACGTTTATAACGTATTTTCTACAGATATACATAGGTCAAATAAATAAAAATCAGATTTTGCCCTTTTTAATATAGCTGTCTGATTTTTTTGGCAATTTTAATATAATATTTCAGATTTTAATAAATATTTCTGATTTTAATATAATATTTCTGATTTTTAACATGAAATTGCCGATTTTTGGTTATTTGTAATAGGATTTTTCAATTTTAATATAAAATTTCTGATCATATGGGCCGATCCTTGGAATCTAATTTTTTTACACAAAAATAATTTTATTAAAGCAAATATAAATTATCATTTATATAAGAATAATAAATTTATACCAGATAATGCAAAAAAAACTAATTAATTATATAATTTTTAATTTTTTTTTAATATAAGATGTGTATCTTATACACATCTAGATGTGTATAAGAGACAGCTATATTTGTTATTAATCAGTTAAATATTTATTTATTATTAAAAGCATAGTAAAAACCTTTAATCTCTTATATTCAAGAATCTTCTCATTCAAAAACCTTTTGTTGTACATATATATTAGGTAATTAGTAATATATCATTTTATATAATAAAAATACATTAAAGGCTGTTTATATATACGTGAATATTATGCTTTATTGCTTTTTTGCTTATTATATTTTAAAATTAAGAAAATTAAAATTAAGAAAATATATACTGTAGCTATAATTATATTATTGTAAATAATTAAAATAATTACTCTTTGAATAAATCACCTGTCCTAATATAAATCAATTCCTAAATCCTAATGCATTTTTTTAAAATGCTTTATGAATTTATATTTGTTGTTAAAAGTATTATTACATAAAGGACAATTGATATTTAGAGGTACTGGAGATACCAAAGGTGGTGGTACCTGATTAATAAATTTATAAATATATAAATAATAGAATTTATAGCATAAAAATAAAGAAATAAGAAATAGTAACATACTTGATCAATAATTTAATTAATGAAAAACATATCCAACTCAAAACCTGGCAAAATATTTTCACCACTAATATTACCCCACTGAAGATTACTACAGTTTCTACTCTTCCTGTATACATAAATTCGCTTATTTTGTGGATCTATTAACTAACCAAATTGAACTGATGTACTAAATGTTATAAATTCTTCTTTAAATTTCCTGTCTACTTCCCTGAATTTTGAATTATATATATTTTCTTCAATATCACTTATTTCAACAAGAAATATAGGAATAAAAGGAGCACCTTGAAAGGACCAACACTGTTCATCAGTTAATCGAAGAAATGTATTTTATGGTACAAAATAAAGTAACATCTGTACTCTAATAACTGTATTATGATTAACAGTAAAATCAAATCCACCCTGTGATGTAGTGATTACACCACCTTGTGCAGTTTGTATATTCCAATTACAAAGTTAAGCAGCAATTTCTGCAACTATTGCTTCTCTTATACATGGTATGCGTGTTTTTGTTATAAGTACTAATTTTCCATTTTCATCAAGCTCAAAAAAATTAACAGAATATCTGTTGATTTCCAAAGTAAAGTTTTTCAACTGGCTATTAATATACTCGAACTTTTCAAGAGTATATGAACGTTCAAGGTTTAAATTATCAAGATCTATTTCTTGATTACAAACTTTAGATGTTTTGGTCATGTTTTGTAAATGAAATTTGAAAATAAAAAGAATAAAACTGAAAATTTTTAATTTCTCATATAGAGTAACTTTTATTGATTAATTAATTGATTGATTTATTAATAAGACTGATCAAATTGTCTGACTATCTATACTGAAAATAGATCAAGAATATCTTATTTTTAATAAACTTACTTTTTGAAGATTTTACTACTTTTTAATTTCTCTTGAATTCAAAAAAAAGTAACAGAAGACTAACAGAAGTTAAAATTTATCAAGAAAAAGAAGAAAAAAAATATATATAAATTTTTTTCTTTCACACTCAAATGATTGGATCATTTCAATTAAATTTCACATAATTTGTATTAGCTAATTATTAATGAAACTTTCAGGAAAAAATAATATAAGTAAATACTATCAGTAAAAATGGATTAATAGATAAGAATTATATTTTATAATACTGTATATAAAAAAGTATTTAACTTTATAGTCTCTAAATTTATTCATTTTTATACCATTTATTAGATATTCTGTAATTACTATAAATTTTATTATANAATCTACTTGAATATTAATTTTCACGAAGGTACAGTTAATACTTGATGAGTTATTCATGATTTTCACAATGGTACTCATTTACGAATTTATTTTTTTCCGTTTTGTCACTTCAGAGCGTATTTTGAGCACTTTAGTCAAAGTAAATCGACTTCTTTTATTAATTGAAAGTTGTTCAGCAGGTCGCAATCTACATAGATATTAATTTTTATGAAGGTACAGTTAATACTTGATGAATTATTCATGATTTTCACAACGGTACTCATTTACGAATTTTATTTTTTTCCATTTGTCACATCAGAGCGTATTTTGTGCACTTTAGTCAAAGTAAATCGTCTTCTTTTATTAATTGAAAGTTGTTCAGCAGGTCACAATCTACTTGGATATTAATTTTCACGAAGGTACAGTTAATACTTGATGAGTTATTCACGATTTTCACAATGGTACTCATTTACGAATTTTATTTTTTTCCGTTTTGTCACATCAGAGCGTATT